GTATTTATAGACAGTTATCTAAGCAAAATACTTAACATTCACTGGCCGGATACCATCAGCAACAGCGTTTTATAGGAGAGGACAAACCAGCTTCCACGTGAAGACGAAATTAGGAAAAGACGTTGGTAGTGGATCGAACATACACTAAGGAAATCAACAAACTGCATGATGAGGCAATCCTCAACTTGGAATGTGGAAGGGAAGTGTGAAAAAAAGGAAGGCCAAAGAACACATTACATCGGGAAATAAAAGCAGACATGAAAAGAATGAATAACAACTGGAAAGGATTGCCCAGGACAGGGTTGGATGGAGAATACTAGTGTGCGCCCTATGCTGCCCCACGAGGGTTAACAGGCGTAAGTAAGCAAATCAATTTCATGAATTCTGCCAAGTAAGCTTAAGAAAAAAAGAATATTAATAAAGTTACAAACTCCTAATATGTTCCAGTTTGTGTGTAAAGGTTTTGCTGCCCGTTGCATTTCAGTTTCAAATAGTCCAATCCCAAATTTAATAATTTTATTCTATCAAAAAGATATTGAATATATGGACCTATGTTTTATGAACTGACAATATTAAGGAAGTTATTTTTCTAAAAGTAACAGGAAAATGTTTATTCCTAGTTGAAAAATTCAGGAAAATTTGACTGAATACGAAAAATGTCATCGTAAATTCTTTTTTTAATGATTGATTTTTAATTTAAAATCTATTTTAATCATTTCTATTTTAGAGAACTTGAAAATACTTTTTTTTTATAACTTTAACCAACGCGTTTTATAGATATGACGACGAAAACTGACGATTGATAGATTTTTACTCTTTGATTTATGAACAACAAGTAACAACAGAGACATATACCTTCGAATTAGTTAAATCTCTTAATTTATATTGCTAACTAGAGTATACGCATTCATTCAATTCTGAATTTTCGGACGACTGATTGGAGTAATGATATTTATAAACAACTGATTACTAGAATTATGACTTAACACTATTTACACAGTCTAACGAATTCGCCTTTAGGAAATAGAAATAAAAATCTAAGCACTTTGAAGACTTAAGCATTTCGGCTGTTCAATCCTAAATTCTAAGCGCATTCGCTCACTGCACCATGTAATTATCATCTATTCTAGTTTTTTCTTCATTTCTCATCTGGTGCTCAGTTGTTTTGGTCGCTGTCAATCCTCATTATCATTATTCTGTTGCTACTATCAATTTTATGTTCTCAATTTATTCTTTTTACTAACAAAGTGAACAGTTATCTTCCATAATCTTGATCCTTACGCCGTTTTATCTTTTTTTTTTTTACCATGAGACTACTGTAAAATGTCATGTGGTCCTTGGAATTCCTGAAAAATCTATGATATAGTCCGTTTCCGTTTTGTGCTAAACTATTATACGTATTCAATTATTATAAATACAGTTGTGCTGCCCAGTAAATGATATAATGAGAAATGAAATTTTCGCACTTAACAGTATTTATTTCCTTTTGAATAGCATGATGGGTGGGTGTGTTATATTGTTTTACCTTTTTAGTTCTTAAAAAACATTAGTAATCAATATTTTGTGCTTAGTTTCAGTTATTATCAATCAGGTATGTCTTCAAATTATTTGTATGAAATAGTGGAAATTTTCGCTTCTATAATTACGTAGGTTTGATTAAATTTATTAAATTCCATCTTTGATTTACAAAACAACTCTTGTTTACCCATTACAAAGAAAGAAAATATACTTTCTTCAGAGCTATTTATTTCATTTTGTGGTTAAGAGTGAATTAATATATCATAATGTCTATAAATTGAACCTGAATCAGGTAACCATATCTATATCAACAAATATTCATTTCACATGAAACACTTGACAGAAAATCGTGAATTCTTTTTGTTTTGCGAAATATTTCGCATTTTTTCCTCTGTACTATTTAAAATTGAGCATCAGTCCCCTCAAGATTACAGGTTCACCTTGCTGACGAGTGCCAAGTACCATAAAACCTAGGTCCAGGGTTTCCTGTTCACTACCTCCAACCACCATCCTAAACTTGTGTTAACCTAATTTCGGTTATTTGTGTACTCTGGAGAAGTGGCTTACATTAAGTGATGAAACGTCGTAAATACAATGTTTCTAATTATTGGGATACAAGAAAAAAAAATTTATTACTAATGGATAATGTTTATTTATGAGGATTTAGATATACGAAAAACCCCCATTAATTCTGCTAAAGAATGTGATTTTTGTTTAGGACTAGTCTGAGGACTGGTCAAGAGATGATTCACTGAGTCATCACTTGTTTCTAACCACTTGGTTTATGTTTGTGTATATAACATTGTTGTTAAATATACTTTAACACATAAGTCATATATTTATAATTCTTATTCAATCTCTTAAACTTATTTACATCTTTTCTATATAATACTGATATAGGATATCAGTGAATTCTTATCGAGTTCATTCATGTAAACATTTTATTTTAAAATACTATTGAATAAAATCAACTGATAAGTATCTAATAAAATAAAATGGATTTAAGTCATTTTACTGAAATTTTTGTTCTTAATTGCTTCATGATAACAAAAGAAAAAGATATTGTAGTGTGATCTACTTATATCCATAAAAGTAGTATATGGTGATGGTCAAACATAGAATGTATTGTGGTATCAGACCGATAAGGAAAGAACTGAAATGAAGCGCAATTGGTAGGAAAATGCATGAAAAATGAAATTAGAGAAGATGAACTGATATTTACAGAAAGAACAATGAAGATTGAGACAATTGATTGTTATTTTGCAAATTAACTATTTAATGTATGATTTCATTTAATATTGTTTATTTGAATCTTCCCATTGATGTTTATGACTGCAACTGGTCAGTCTCTAATTGGCATATGTGCATACTGTGCGTATTGCGTCGATATAGCCTTTTTTCACAAGCATTGTAAGCAAAGATGGATAGTGGCTAGAAGTGGAATTCAGGACGTACGTTTAGTCCTATTTGGAACACTTCAGCTGGAAGCGAAAGGCATTGGGTTCGAGTCCCACAGTGAAGATCAACTCTGAGGCACAGGTACATCCAGCTGACGAGTCCCGAATAAAACGAAACACGCGTCCTGGATTCCACTGCTAGCCACTATCCAACTTTGCTTAAAATATTTGTTTGTGGTTATCAGAATTTAGTGAGATGATCTGTAGTTTGTGCTTAAAAACATTCGATTGTCCCCAGTCGTGCTTTGTTCACTACAATATGTCCAGTCTAAATTGTTTGTCTTCAATGAGTGAAATATGAAATATCTAAACTGAATAAATCAGAAATGAATGAACTAATGAAAATGTGTATGATCATAGTTTTATCATATTTAATTTGAATAAGAAAGAGAATATAAATAAATACTATTGAATATTATGAATTTATTATTGACAAATTTTTTTTAAATATTCATTAAATTTAAATTCACTTAGTACTGTTTGTTTGAATCTTCCTATTGAGACTCAACAGTTGCAGTCCTAAACATCAATGGAAAGTTTAAAATGAACAATACCAAGTGAATTCAAAATTCACCACATTGCACAAGTAAGTGGCTAAGCGGATAACATGGTGGCGTTTGAAGTGAACTGTACTGGGTTCGAGTTCCAAAGTGAACATCAACCCTGAGATGCAGGTACATCCAGCTAGTGACGAGTCCCAAATAGAACGAAACACTCGTCGTGAATTCCACTGCTAGCTACCATCCATCTTCTCTTATAATTCACTAAATTTGTTGCATATCTTTTTAAAAACTAGAAAAAAAAATTTATAAAATAAACAAACCATCAAATTATATTTATAATATATGAAATGTTATTTGTGTAAACCAACTCTTAATTGAACATTATTAATCTAAGATATTTCATATCAAATATATAACATAAAATTTCAAACCCAATAATAACTCTGTTCCATTGAGTAAACAATCATGTATATATATATATATACTACTTATTATAAATGTGATCAGTTATGAATGGTCACATGTTAAATAAAATCATATAAGAGTAAGTTTTTGAAAATTTTTAATTAATTTCAATTAGATAAACAAAATTTGTAAAACAAAATAATTTGAAAAATAATAAAAATTTTTTGATTTAAAAATTTGAAAATAATAAAATTTACTACTTAAAGCGGTACGAATATTAGACATTTTCTAAATATTTACAAATATACTTATTATGTTTATAAAATGTACGTTTTTTTGTTTTAATAATCATTGTGAAACCAGCTTATATACATATATTATTAGTAGTAGTAATAGTAGTAGTATATATTATTAGTAGTATAACTAGTTTTTCAACAGATGTAGTTAAATTGATTTTATAAATAAAACAATCACTTAACAACAAGTTCATGTACTTTTATATTTACAAATAGATATGTTTATAATTTGTTGACTTGTCAAGAAAAGGTTAATAAACATAATATTCTATATCTAATTCTTTACGTGTTTGTTGTGTGGTTGAAATTACGTAATCCTCGTAAACCTAACAATGCAAATACTTCCGTTCTTGAATCGATACCATTCGGGGTTCCCATGGAAATTGAGGAGGACTGAGGGCTAGTTATTTTAGTACGGTACTTCACATCCTTGAAAAATGGATTTCATTTATGTCAACAGTAAGACAGTTATCCATCAACATCAAGTCCACGTACTTTTATATTTACAAATAATTATGTTTATAATTTTTTGACTTGTCAAGAAAATGTTAATAAACATACTATTCTATATTTAAGTTTATTAATATATAGTATGAAAATTATTATAAGTTTTAGCAAAACACTTAATATTATTTAAAAAATGTCCACTTCATTTTTTTCTCATTCAGTTTATTTTATGAAAATAATTGATGTTATAATTTGTATTTCTGTTAGTAAAATTTTTATTTATATATAGTTGAGATCATGAATCAATTGAAGGGAGACCACCATAGAAAACTTGAAAGCACTGGATGGCCGTTTCGTCCTATTGTAGGACTCCTCAACAGTGCGCATCCACGATCCCGTCTCGCGAGACGGACCTGTCAGTCTTGCGCGCGAGCGCTTAACCACTGATCAAAGGTAAATAACATTGAAATTCAAACTAAAGCATTAAAGATACCCATCGATAGAAAAACAATTTATTTTCAAGTGAAGCATATTGTAATTTTCAAACTTAATCATGTATTTTGTTGTGTGTTTGAAAATATGAGTGTTTCAACATGGTAACAAAATAAAAACTATTGAAATGTTGTATGGTTTTCTATGAATATATCGTTGATGTTCTAGTTTATATATTAATCACACATGATTATTAATAGCTTTGCAATCCACAGTTATTGACATTTTCGCAAAGTATTACATTGCCAAATCCATTTGTTTAGGTAATATACAAAAGTTGTGGTTTAAAGTCGAAATATTTCTCAGTAACCATATTTCTTCTATCCCAAAACCTGAATTGAATTATGATAACTTTTGTGGCAAATTGAAAAGCATAAATTATCTATGTGCTAACTGATTATTATTCAAACTAATCTATTTTTAAATGTTAAGCCTGATTTTAGTGTGGAGGATCGTTTTTTAATGTTCACCCACAATCTATTAGTTTCGCTAAGGAACGAATAAACATTTGTATTGTTACATTTACTACTCAAAAGTAGTATAAATATTATATTAAAATTTCGCTACGTGTTTGAAATGATGTAATCCGTGTAAACCTAACAATGTAGATGGTTCAGTTCAACTGATCCCATTCGTAGTTCCCATGGCAACATGAGAATTGAGTAGCTAGTTATTTAGGTGCGGTACGTCACATCCTTGGAAAATGAACTATATTTGTGTCAACATTAAGAAAGTCATCCACCAACAACGTCGGATTACTTTCGTTCTTTAAAATGAAGCTATAACTTTCAGTGAACAAAGCTTTTCACCACAGAATAGTTTTAAAAGTGTCAACCAATCATCCTACTTAACCACAGAGCTGTAAGGATCACTCCAAAGCACAAAAGATGATGTTATCAACACTTTATTAGCAACTAAAGATCATTTACATAATGAAACATTGTTCCAGAGACGCAAAAGTCCATTTCCTGTTTTCATAAAGCACACTAACTACAACAAGACGTCCAACAGAGTTTCATAATATGAATTACCGTTGAAGCTGTAAAATTTAAGAATACCATGAGATTTACTTTCGTAGGTTATTGAGTACTTTGTTAGTAATTGACATACAGCGCATGAAAACCCCTTGATTTTTTCCTAGAATCTATAACTTAATGAGGAACTGCAAGTCATTATACTATGTCCATTATTATTTATCTCTTAAATTAATGAAATATCATCTTGCCAATTCTAAGTGATTCTGAACACAGATGACTTTGAAATACGACGAGGAGTATAAACAGATGACAGTATAAAAAGTTTCCAAGTTGATCTTGACATCTTACCTAGTTGAGCTAAGTTATGGTTGGCGGACATCAATGCAACTAAGTCTGTGTATACTAGACATATAGACAGCAGAAACTACAGAATTAGATAAATGTCTCTAACCTCAGACCTCATCCACAATGACTTAAGGACCATAGTACAGCATGACTTGAAGATCAATTCTTACTGAGTCTCATATTCAGTTACAGGATTTTAGATCAGTATAAGCATTGAGAGGGACTTTCTTAAATTTAAAAATATATTCATAATACTTTATAAAGTCCTAGTGAAATTTAAGTGGGATTATTGTGCTCAGGACAAAAATCGTTGTTTAAGAGGATACTCGGATTTACTTGAAAGAGTACAGAGAACAACTACATGTGAGATTGATGGAGATGATAGGTTTCATTTATGAAACACGCTTCGGAATTTAGATCTCACTAAACTATTGGACACCAAATTAAGCGGTAAATTATTCATGGTACATATGATGCTGAGCAATAATTTTGGATCTATCTTCTCATTTATTCACTCACATAGGCTAGAGTGACTCAGATTATACAGAATTTGAGCTCAAAATCGTGAACAAATCGTATCTTCATAAGGTAGAAGCTTTTCTACCATATAACTGACTCCTAGGATTTGTCACCTCAAAAAGTCTCTGCTTCCTTGACCTACTCATTAAAGAGAAACGTAGACATAAAAAGAATTTTTTTTAAGAAAGTATTAAGATAGACTATTTGTCCCCTTCTTTCCTGAAATGAAAATCTGTAATTAAACAATGAAGGTACGAAATAGAAAAAAAAAACCAACATAGAAACAATGTTATTATCTTTAAAATAATAACAATATTCAATAATTCAAGTAACCATTATATCTTGAAACATAGTTTATCATAATAATTAATTAATCAACTGTGATATTGTTACTATGAATATTGTTATCACTGATGTTTATTCTTATTTATCTAAAAATATAAAAAAAACAAACTTGAAGCAAAAATTTATAAAATATAAAACCAAAAAACAAACAAACTGACAAACCAAATAAATGAACGAAATTAAAATTAGAGAAAAGGGGAGAGAGAAAAAAAAAGAGTGTCATATTCATTAATTTTTTTTTCTTTTCCAAAAAGGTTTGAATACAGTTCATTTACATGAAAAAAAGTAAGTTTGAATGAAAAAAAAATCTAATATAAGTGAATATTTAGTAAATGACACAAATAATACTTACTAAATAATAATTAAATGATGAACTTGTAGTCATATGGATATTTATGCAGTTAAGTAAATCAGAGAATTTAAAAAGGGGGAACAGAAAACAAGAATATACTGAATTTATATATAATATGGATAGATAGATAGATAGATCAGTTCTAATGCTTTCTTATAAACAAATTTCACATGTTCACAACATTCACATTAAATACATGAAAAAGTTTTTCAAATGATATTTCATTAATGTTTAATTTAATGTTATAGTTTATATTTCTACAACAGGCGCCATTATTAATTAAGAGATGAAGAAAAAGAATCAATCCATTACTTGTATGTTAATGATTCACGATAATTTTTGATCGTTAAAAAAAGTCAATATAGATTGTTCTTAATATTAAAATTTATAGTTCAACTAGGTATATGCATAATTGATCATAAAAAATTGTTTAAAAAAAGAAGTGTTTCAATGTAAAAGGAATAATAGTCATAATATACTAATTTTTTGAAAAAATAACCTTGTTGTATTTAAACATTGAACGAGATAGGTGTGATTGACAAAGGTACAATGAATAATTCACTACTATGAGAAATGTAGACATATCAATAGAAACGATAACAGGAATTATCCTTATTTATCATATAAATATCAGCAGTTAGAATTTAGAGAAGAATTTTGGTTGTTGTTGAATAAACCAAATGATATTCACTGGAAATGATCTACTCGTTGTTGTTATGTCTGTGTGTGTGTTTTAAAATCTCTGTATTGTGTTATCGCCATTGTAAAGAGCATTGAAACAAGTAAAAAATAAAAAAAAATTTCGGCTATTTTTATAAAAACATAAAAATTTTTTGTGTTTACTAAGGCATTTAGTGTGAATATTTCATAGTTACATTGTTCAATAAACTAAAGAAAGTATCATTATAGTCTTAATAAAAAAATACAAATATTTATCATTATTGATTGTTTTTTATTTGTTTCAATTTATAAAAAAAGTTCTTTTTGTTGTAGTTAGGGTGATTTATTGGAATGATGGGAGTGATTTTCAACACTGATTTATTACTCAATTCATAAAGTTACTATTTATTATTATGTTTACTATTCATAGTGTTATTATTATTACTATTATTTGTGTATACATCCAGTGTATTGGTTAAGACTGCCGTATGTGGATTCAAATGTGTAGTCTGTAGGATGGCCTGTTCTAGTGCCTGTATAAAAAACAAAAAAGGAAAATGATTTTTATATATATATATATATATATATATATATATATATATGACTAAAACTAAATATAGTAATTTCTGTAGAATATATGGAATGTGAAACCCAGTACATGCTTTTCGTTCTATTGGGGACCCATCAAAGAGGGTTTAACATACAACTCAAATCAATACAATTTAAATGAAAGTGCAACAATTTTTAACTTTTGGCTAGTAGTAGTAGGGTGAAAGATTCAAGTTTCATTCTATTTCAGATATATCACCTGAATTTATATGAATATTGATGATGATGTTAGCATTGAAATAAGAACTTAGAAGCCGTTAGTTGAAATGCTTGTGAGAAATTGAAAACTCCTAATAATAATAATAAAATGAAATATTTTTCATTGGATGAGTTAGAGGTGTTAAACTTCGAGTTACATTAATTTACACATGAATCAAACACATCTCTGAATGCATGTTATGCTGAAATCCTGTAAAATCTGAATTAAACTGTAAAATATGGAATCAGTTAATGAAAAGAACATAAATTAAATTTCACCAAGACTATGAATAAAACTTTAATATGCTTTTCATAATAAATACAATAATATTTAAAGTTTATAATGACTAAGTGTTTGCTTGGTTAAGGAGATAAATGATTCATTACAATTTAACTCAATAAAATAGATGAGTTAGGAATGTACAAATGACTATTTCACTCTGGGTTAACTACATCTCACATGTCGAAAGCAGCGAAAGAAACCTATTGTATTATTGAAGTAAAATAATGATAATTCAACGAAGAACATTTTCTGGATGACTCCATTTGCTTGAGATATACAGTCGTATTTTTAGTTAATTAGTTTGCTAAAAATCATATCTGGGCAGCATCGTTTATGAACACAGTGGATCTGATGCAGATATGACAGCGAGGATCGGCAAAGCAAGAGCAGCATATTTACAACTGAAAAACATCTGGAACTCAAAACAATTGTCAACCAACACCAAGATCACAATTTTCAATACAAATGTCAAGACAGTTCTACTGTATATGGCGGAGACGAGGGGGACTACGAAAGCCATCATCCAGAAGATACAAATGTTTATTAACAGTTGTCTACGCAAAATACTTCGGATCCGTTGGTCAGATACTATCAGAAACAAGTTACTGTGGCAGACAACAAACCAGATTCCATCCGATGGAGGAAGGAATCAGGGAGAAGCGTCTGAAGTGGATAGGACACACATTGTGGCAAGCAGCCAACTGTGTCACAAGGCAAGCCCTCACATGGAATCCTGAAGGTCAAAGGAGAAGAGGAAGACCAAAGAACACATTACGCTGAGAGACAGAGACAGACATGAAAAGAATGAACAAAAGTTGGATTGAACTAGAAAGGAAGGCCCAGGACAGAGTGGGTTGGAGAAAGCTGGTCGGCGGCCTATGCTGCATTGGGAGTAACAGGCGTAAGTAAGTAATTAAGTTTGCTAAAAATAGTAGTGCGCAGTAAAATAGTTGTGTTACATGATTTTTTAGGATTCAGGTATTACAGTTTGTTTCTTCCGTTCAGATTGTCATCGAAAATATCATGACGACATTGTAATTTTGATAAATCATGATATTTTAATCGTAAATTCTGTTAGATATTGACAAAAAAGAGGGAAATATTTATCAAAATGTTCTGAATTACAAGCATTTTTTTGAATTCGTAGTAAAATTGTATCTGTTATACACACTGACATCATTACAATATGTGTGAAATCTGCAGCCTATAGTCAATAACAGTCAAATCCTTACAGTAACATTTGTCGACATAATTGATTCATGTTATACAGAATTCATAATTGAAGCCTTTATTTTCTTACTTCCAACAATCAGAGTAAAGTGATCTAGAGCTTTGTTTAATCAAATTTCTCCAAAAAATTTTATTGCATTAGAGATAAGTCAATAGACTGAAATAAATGTTTTAGTGGTTCGTTTCATTAAAACTCTTATGTTAAATATACATAAATTTAGCCATCATAGCAAATCAGTAGAATAAGGATAATACAACCCATACGGGACTTAAATTATAAAAATTTAACTTCAGTAGATTATGTAATTGAGTAAATTAAAACAATGTATCTCATATATAAGATGTTGAATAGAGAATGAATGGTTTGAAAGTATTTGTTATAAATGGAATCCAAACAATACATTATTGTTAAAAAAAATACACAAAGGGTTAAAGAGATCATAAACTAAAAACTGAAGAATCATATGATAAAGTATAAAATAGTCAGAAAGGGCTTTGCGGAGATCTCAGTATTTTCATAGTTGAAACCATGAGTCGATTGAAGCTAAACCACAATGGAAAACTTGCAGGCACTGGATGGCCGTTTCGTCCTACTGTTGGACTCCTCAACATTGAGCATTCACGATCCTGCCTCGTGAGATCCGAACCCAGGACCTTCCAGTCTCGCGCCACCTAACCACTAGACAACTGAGCCGGCATCCAATGGTGTTAATGTCTAACACTAACCAATCCACGAAGTAGAGCAATTGTCCACCAATTGTCTTCAGGGAGTTGATATCTTACAATAGACGTGGTTGAACTCTACTGGTCATTGCTTCTCACTAGAACTCCAGGAAATATCTCTTGAAGTGAGTCACTAGTGAGCATATGATTATAATCAATCCACATTTATTAAAAAGTTAAGATATTAATTCCCAATAGGAAGCCAAAGTAATCGTTTCCACAAAATATTATTTCAAATGCATAAACTATCTAAATTAAGACTGACATTTCAATAAATCTTTCTAAATATTCAGTATGAGTGTATGCTTATGAATAATTACTGACTTTAGAAATCAGCATCAATCTAATAATTTCATGGTTTTGATGATTTCATGTTGGTCAAAATTATCCCCAAGTATTTGTATTAATAAGGTGCTGAATGCTCCCTTATAATCCTTTTAAAAAAAATGTATTAGGATATCAACCTAAAATCTATCCTTTATATTACTTTGGTACACCAAGAACAAGCTCTTTTAGCATAGGATAACAAGCAAGTGTTAGGAACTATAAATTAGCAGAAATCATGAAACCTTAAAAATCATAAATATAACAAGCTTAGGGTAAGTTAGTTTCACAGTCGTGCAGTCTGAACGTTTTCACGTCTTACTTATGATGGAGATGACTACTGATTCTATTCATAGTCAGTTACTTACTATTACAAAATTCATTTGTCACTCTGTATTCATTTTGGGTATTTCGAAGATAAATGTATATCTCAATGTTGTTTCAATTAATTGCTTGTAAATATTTAATTAAATCAATAAAATTACGAAACCATATTTATCATTCAGTCTAAATGAAATGCATCTCATTCAATGATATATTAGGCAAATAAAAATTATGCATGAAAACATCTGTTATTTTACTATTATCTCTTGTGTAAGTCAAGTGAGCCGTAAACTAGTGTGTTAGGTAATAAGTTAGGACTATTTGTATTTTTTAAGTGTAATAACCGTGATCATGGTTTTGTTAGATTATCAGGTAACACATCTTCGTTAAGTTATGATACTTACATGATCAGAGTCTATCACCGTTGTGGGACTTTGATGTAATTCAGAATTGACGCATGTAGGAGTAGTCTTTTTTTGTCAAAGAAATTAAGAACGGAAATCAAAGAAAATATCTAGATTTCTAGAAGTCTATAAATAGAAATATATCTTCAGTAATGATTACTATGGTTGCCCACCTCAGCATTGTTCATGAGAGAGATAAATTGCATCATAGAAAATTAATAATTGTAGACTAGTTTGAACCAACACAAACTAATATTTTAGTTTAAAAATTCGATCTTCCAAAAGAAACTGTCTAAACACAACAAGTGAGGAAAATTTGTGAGATACTACTGAATATCAAACTAGTAAGATTCAAGTCGCACACTGAGATACTGGTCACTGTAATACCTTGGTTACTGACTATTTGATGCTAACTGTTTTCTAAGATTATCTTTCAGTGGTTACATTTTCGGCAAATCTGTAACCTAAATCATAGGCAAAATTTTCAGAATAGGTTTATACTTGGGAATTTAGCCTGTTGTCAGTGAAACGTAATTCCATTTGTTCTCGTAAGTATTACTGTATCAATCAAACCGTTTCCATCAAATCGATTGTGTCACAAAAGCGCGATAGTGCCTCTATAACAAGATTATAAACACTTACTAAACTTCAATCTCATCAAGAGTGAAGATGGAACAGAAAGTGGTTGATATTTTAATATAGGGCCAGTCAAGATACATCCCTTAACAATTATTCATGTATTTTAAATGATGGATGAGCGATCAGTTTTCAAAATAAAAATATTATGAACATTCAAAGAAGTGTATAAGGAATTTAAATGTATCCCGAACTCAGTTTATTCTATCGACCAACTGACGCATCCATGAATAATGTTAAGTTTTCACAGTTGAAATCACGAGTTGATCTGAGCTATAGAACCCAGCACGTGCACGCGGGACCTGAGACCTTCGGTTTCTCATGTGAACACTTAACTCCAGACCATCGAGCTGGGATCCTACGGTGTTAATATCCAACTTCAATCGATTTATGATATTACGCAATCCTTTGTGCATTGTCTGAGGTGAATAACTGTCACATACTCAACACGGGTTGAATCCCAACACCGTTAAATACCGGCTCAGTGATCGAGATGTTAAGCGTTCGCATGCGGGACCGAAGGCCTTGGGTCTGAGTCCCGCATGCAAGATCGTGTGTGTTCATTGCTGAGGAGTTCCACACTAGGAAGAAAGGACTGTCCAATGCTTGTGGATTTTCAATGGTGGTCTAACTTAGATCAAATCGTAATTCAAACTGAAAATACTACAAACTCCACAAATCCTCGTGCTGATAATATTAAATTCACAAAACTATTTGTACTACTTTTTGATTCGAAGTAGTATGACTTGTATAGAGATAATAAGACGTTTCTTCTTGCCATTTACTCATCTCTTTATGATAAAAATATTTTCACACATTTCAGGTTTATCAGAAAATGTTGTACAATCAACTTATTACTTAGATCTGCTGAATAACTATCCGATATAAAAACACAAGTAGTTTTTCGTGAAAGGTCAGAACGTTTTTTAGAATCTCATTTTATGTCTCAGTTATTGACATGTTTTTAAAATCGGTATATTCCACAGAAGTAAGATAATCTCACTTACAATGTCAGCTTGAAAATTTGATATAGAATTACGGTGATATGTTCCATTGGGTTTTGTTTTCACCTAAAATTTTAGAGAAAATAGATACCGATGATAAGATGTAAATTTCAAGTGAATGATGATGTAAACTCTTAGATTTAAATATTTTTGTATAGTTATTTTTTTATCGGAAAAATTAGTTACTTTCTTACCTAGTAATAATACGTATCATAATAATTATTATCGAGACTCCTATCATTATCACTTGTATTATAAGTACTAAATTATTTTCGTGATTCTTCATCAATATAACCCTATTCTTATTATCTACACACATTTCTTGTAAGTGTGCCCAAAAATTTAGATTTCAGCCTTATTCTTTTCTTATGTGAATCAAGTCTGAGCCATTGTGGCAAGTAATTTTATTCATTTCTGAACTTTCATCCAAAACGGAATCCATAAAAATGGATTTTATTTGTGATATTAATAGGCACATATAAAACTCATAGTTGATGAGGCTATCGTAAAAACAATGCTGATATCTTACAGGAAACAATAACTGCAATCGTCTTTTTCCAATTCTGTTTTTTCACATGATCTTCGCATTTTTCCGCATAGCTGTAGTTGCTTTTAGTTAGTTAAATTCCTGTATGCTTGAAGGTCATGTTTTTATGACTATATATATTTGCAGTTATATCATTTCGACAGGACTATAGCTAATGGACGATTTTAGAGCAATGGTAAAGTGAAGTGTAAAATATTTAATTAATTACTAGGGTCGGAACAGAGTTAAAAATTAGTGTGAGAAATTAAAACTTAGGCTTACAAATTATAGCTAAGGTTCTCATCACGAACTAGCATCTGTTATAATATCAAATGTTATTTAACCATATGGATGAGTGAATTTCGCTCGAAAATCCAATCCGGTTGGTTCGTCCATAAATTATAATCCTGCATCAAGTTTTCCTATAACTTGTTTTCACCCTTGGTTTGTTAGCCATCAAGTATTGATGTGTTGTGTACTGGTTTCTGCTGCCGATTACATAGAAAACCAATCTTATTAAATATTATGGCTTGGAATGAAAATTCCTCGTAATTTAAACAAAATATGCGTATAGTTTCTTCATGCATAATTTAATCAGTATGGTTTGCTTCGACTCATTGTTCATGTAATTTATTGCTATTTACAAAGGTTGACTATTCCTAGACGACATATTACAGCTTAAATATATAGGTCAAATGAAATACACTTTAATAGCTTTAGATTAAGTTTGATGGCAAAAAGAGATCAATTGAAGACGAGCTTTAAATTTCATTTATTTATAGCTAATTTATTAATACGAATATCACTGCTTCATGTCATGGTAAATTATCTTGATTCGAATATTTAATGACTGTCGTTAACCAGTATCTAATGTGTGATTTTCCAATAAATATAGAAGGGGCTTAAGAATACAATTGCTTTATTCGTCATAACAAAGAAGTGAAAATATACTATACATAAAAAGCATCGAATGCAGGAGGCAAATGTATGATATTCCCTGGATCTTTTTAACAGATCTCATGATTTCGAGAGCATCGAAATTAAAATAAAAATAAGCTTTCTGAGCAATGAAAATTAGAACGATTTTAAATCAGAGGGAAGTGGTATCCAGCGATGCCTAGGTTCAATTTGTTCTGTTCCTAATAACAGTACATATGACATAATATATCTTTAGCTCAGATGATGTTATCATGAAATGGAAAACTAACAAAATACTTTGTAATTAATAATTGACAATTAAATGTTATAAATAGTTATCCTGTTTTACTTGTGATTCAGATCGCTCCGTAGACGGATGATTCGTATAATTGTGATATAAGGCATCAAAATGACTTTCAGTAATTGGTTCACAAGTTTCCAGAAACTAGAACATATGAACAAAAGAAGACAATAATACAATACAATATATCACTATAAATCAGATGCAACGGAACTTGATAGTCATTACTTTTATTTTCAATAAATGTTTACTACAGTTTAGTCATCGCCTATTATCAGCAATGAGCATGCTTCCTCGCTTCAGACTTGTCTCTTGAACAAAGGCCGTAATATTAAGAGCAGAGCAAAGTTTCTCATTGGTTCACAAGATTATATCAGTGCCTAATTAAACTACTATCAATTGATTTCAGCTTCTAAACCAGCTCTTCTGCAATTATCCTTAAATCCAGTTTACATGTAACTTTTTATTAAAGATATTTGTGAGATTTTCTTACACTTACTTCGGATCTGACTTTCAAAAAACTACAAGTTTAAGGAATGATCAAGTTTTTTCATGAAAAAAAGTTACTACATAGTCATTAGGTACATATTGTAGTCTTTTAGAAAATCTAAAACAATATGACAACGTTCTAAAATGTAGCTATTGGATTAATTAAGTCAAACTTCAGTCCCCTATATTTCGCTTATGATGGTCTATCATAAAAATATGTTATCGCTTGCCTTGAAATTCACGCTTACTCAATCATCAATAAAACACACTTAAATTTTTAAATAAAAAAATCAGTTTCTCCATGATTCATGCTGTTTGGTTATTTGAAAAACTGTAATTTAGGCAAACAGGTTTAGAGCCATGTGGTGTGCAACTATAATAATTTTACAGTTTCCTTCATTGTGATTGGTATTAAACTTAGGCTAGAGGAAAAGATGATTGGATATTAACTAGTTTGATTTGTGTGGGCCTATAATTTCTTCCAAATCGATTCTCCAACATTTAACAACAAGAGATATATGTAGCATTATTTTAATTATTTACCGTGACTTTTGACAAATACCATTTATTCGGTTTAGGTAGTCGAAAAAATGCAAGATTAGCCACTATTTATTCATAAACTTAATATAAATAATTCAACTATTGCACTTAAGAGCAATGCTAAGTGAATTTAAACTTCACCCCATCGCACAAGCAAGTGGCTATCAGGATTCAGTGGCCGAGTGGATAACGCGATGGCGTTTGAAGTGAAAGGTACTAAGTTCGAGTCCAAGAGTGAACGTCAACTCTGAGATGCCGGTACATCCAGCTGACGAGTCCCAAATAGGACGAAACATGAGTCGTGGATTCCACTGCTAGCTACTATCCACCTTTGCTTACCATGCTTGAGAAATAAGGCTATATCGAGGCAATACGCACAGTATGCACATATGCCGATTAGAGACTGACCAGTTGCATTCCAAACACATCAATGGGAAGATTCAAACAAACAACACTAAGTGAATCAAAATATTAAAGTTTTAAATTCATGATTCGTTACGTGCATCCACTTTTAAAGTATAACAGGCTTATTTCAAAATCCGAATTGAACTTACCATTCTTACTTCATCTTCTTGTTGGTCACTAAGTGAAGGGGATTCTACACGTATTGATTCTACAGGAACATCTTCCAGTTTACTTGGGGTGCTACTTTTTACATTGTTGCTATCACTGACAAAATTATTATTCATTATTGTAGAATGACCATACGTTTCACTGACCGAATTTAAACTGATCTCTTTCTGATTTTCAGTATATACTTCTGTCTTTGTATTATGAGTAGCTAAGTGTTTTGTTGGGTGACCGTTCTGTTTGACCGTATTCTTCGGTGATGAAATAGAGTATAGGAGAAACAGTGATTAAAGAATCAATTTTTGTTTGGAAGCATTAGCCATTAAACTAGAAAATTAATTTATTCACTATCTATATGTTGTCATAATTTATATATAATTACTTATACAATATAACTACTTGATATGACTGTCGTCATACTCAATTCATTGTAGTCCGTTGAATCCCATTTCTAATTCTTATATCGCCTGTTGGGAATGCACAAAGCGAACTCAGAGTACTATATAATATCAAAAAGTATCAGTTTAGACAGCTGTAACTGAAGTTATTGAAATTGAGTTGATAAGCTGATCGTAAAAAATACATTTACGAAAATTGACTAGCTCAATCACATTTTGATAAAATACATATTCTTTTAAATAAATTAGATATGTGTCTTATATAATCTGCAAAAAATGGCAAATATATGAATACTACATTGATCAATGCTGTCATTTTTAATTTGATGACTGATACAGAGTGGTTGTAAGCACTGAAACCTATCATTGAAAGTGCTACAAAAAAAGACAGTGTATATATTTCTAGCTACAGGTTGATTTGATTTCCAAGTTGTGGCGTTTGCGAGTACATGTTGCCAGATCGCTACATTCAATTCACAGACAATTTGTTTACACATTTCTAGTCATATCATCTCATCATTTAAAAACACTTTTTTAAAACTATAGATTCTAACTTTTAGATTTAATATAGCACTAATTTGACTATATATACTAAAGGTTTAACAACACTTACTGAACTAGGCCATTTTGGTGATTCGAATACGTATTCATCTGAAGCTGCAAATAATGGAGTCCAATCGTCCTAGTAAATTAGTTTTTTTTTAAAAAAATTATATAAGTGATTAGTTTACTAATTAACAAATGGTTCATTTAACAGTTGTATATTAATTACTTTAGTATAGTTTTAATGATTTACCAAATCCTAGCTAAAAGAAGTCACTATAAATCTTTGGACAATTTTGGGAACATAAACACCTGGAGATTATTTTTTTAAAATGACTTCAAACACATCAATAGTTGCAGAAACATCATTGTATCCAAGCTTATAAATTTCCTGAATAACATTTGACGATCGGTTTTAACCAAGGAACTTATTTAATGACTGTCTATCACCTCTTATGTCATCAATCGGATATAAAATAAATTTTTTTTACTGAAAACCATTCACTTAAGTTTATTAAATTAATTAATCTTATGGTTAAATAGTGCTTGACAGCAAACTCAATTATTTGAACAGTCTTATACCACTCTAGACAAGTCATCATAAGAACAGATAGTTTTCTATGTAAACACGTGAAAGTATTAGTTAAACTTTATAGTATTTGCAGAATACAACTGATTAATTATTCTTTTAAATTTATTCAGTATCGAATATCTGGTTGATCGTATTTTGATATTTCTTGAAAATAAAAACCTCCAAATTGTGTCTTTTAAATCAACGAATCGATGTTTGAAACATTGCACTTGTTACAAAATATAGAAGTTCGCAAAGAAATTTAACACCACAGAGATCGCTTGAGATATTAATAGTGTAAATATTCTTGTTGATGAGTTTGGGATCCACTGCCGTTATACTAAACATTCTTTGAGTAGCAATACATCAACGTAACAAATTTACCATCTATCATTTGCACTCTTAAAGATTATAAGCCTGAAATCAATTCATCATTAAAATCTTGTCACTTACTTCTGGAGGATATTTAAATGGTAAGTCACCATAATTTAATTCTAATGTAGTATCGACCAAAGAAGCTGCAGGATATATTGGTTCATTACTTTTTATTAATTTCTTGTCAATTTCATAAGCAGGACCAAATAAGCGATTATTTTTTGACCATTGTATTATTCCATTACCCAAATCAAGAAAACAACCGATTACGTCATCTTTACGGAAGGCCTAATAAGGAGAAGATGTTAAGAACGGATGGATAAATGTTATGCGAACTCTGAATATACTGCAAATCAAACGAAAATTGATAAAATGCTGGCAATAAAACTTTATATGACGTGAAAAGAAGCACCACACAATTACTCACTATCATCCATAGGCACTCGTCTCACCATATACATGGAATATCTTTAAAGTTTAAATCTTAAATAACTTAATACCTATTGTGCATTCAGTTTTACTTCGCGTAGAACCCTTGAAAGTGTTAGTACTCTCAGTGAAATTTTACGTAGTCATTTCTTGATTTCACAATTGCTTAACTTCAGTCCGTTCACAACATCGCGCAACCATCTTTCAATGAATGAAGTAGATAACTGTTTGACTATTGACATGGGATACCAGTGGATAGTGGCTCAATGGTCTGAAGGTTAATCCCAAGTAACAGAATGGAAGATCTTTGGTTCGATCCCTGGTGAGGTCATGGATAGGCACTACAGAGAGGCCAATACTAGGAAGAATCAGCTGAGCAGTGCCTTTTTATTTTGATAACCGTCTAGCTAAAAATCCGACAATCTCCCCAAACCCTCAGTGAAAATGTTTTTTAATTTAATTAAATGACTAATTGTTTTGTCTGGTTTGAAAACAAAGCAAATAATCTAAAAAATATTCAATTAACAATTTGAACTAGAAATAAATTACATAGTTATTTACCAAACATGTGTACACGTATTTGTTTTGATACCTGAAAAACATTTATCACTTATTGGTTAGTTCAAATTACTGGTTGAGTCTAGTCTAATTGTTCACTTAATTCATATGAATAGAAACAAAGTAATCGCAATAATTTGTAACAAGTTATGAGTATTTTCATAGTTGAAAGCGTGAGTCAATTGAAGCTATACCAAGGCTATACACCAAGGAAAACCTGAAAGCATTGGACGGCCGTATCGTCCTATTATGGGACTCCTGAGCAGTGCACATCCACGACCTCGCCTCGCGAGATTCGAACCCAGGACCTACCAGTCTCGCGCCAGAGCACTTAACCAAGTATTTGTATAAAAGGTTTGCAGACTTTGTAAAAGCTGATGTCATTTTGTTAATTCAAAGTTATATAAACTGTTTAATATTATAAAGGAAGAAAACTGTATAACTGTGCATGTTTGGATTTGTGATCAGTTAAGCTGATTCCTTAGAAAGGTGAAATTATTATGAAGTATCAAAAGACAAATATTATTCAGTAAACTGAATAATTTTATATGATAAAGAAAAGTATGTTCCTATAGAAAATAAAAAAGATTTAACACCACTTAAAGTATTGTAAGAAAGGTGTTTTATTAATTGTACAACAACCTAAACAAAAATCAAGATATTTTTATCTGAGTTATTTAACACCAACTGTTGAACTGCTAACAATGTTTTTCACAATATTAAGCAACAATAAAAAAGTGAAACTTATTTTGTTGAACACATTAAGATTGGGAATCTTAACGTACACTGATAATTACTTTTGTGTACTGATGACAAATATAATATCGATTGTCATAAAACTAATAAAACATACGGAAATTTTTGGTCTACATCTATGTATCCCTATCATATAGGTAGTACAAAACGAAGAAATTGATTCTACCACTTTTTATAAATGAAAGCTGAATTCTTTAAGGAGTTAAACAGAAAGACAACAAAATCCCTAAATTGATATTTTAATACCAATGTTAGGAGCAATTAATTATTCAAATATCCTTATTTCCAAAATAATAAAATCACTTTAACCCAACTTTTGTTTGAGAAATATATCTAATCAGGTTCATAATAGCTTAGTAAGAAATTTTGACTTTATTGATTACAAAGTAATGGATATGATGGAAACAAAATCCATGACATCTGAATTAAACGTATTAATCATTGGCAATAAAATTTAGGATAGTTTGATTTCTAACAACATTTGATCTCATTTAATCTTGATCAGTTATAATTACACTGATCCTAAGTGGCTTATATTTTCGTATAGGTAAATACAGTAAGCCAACAATTTGATCATAGCTTAATATACATTTGATTAAGTATTTTTTATAATATCATATTGTATAGATATTGATGGTGTTCCATCATCTGAGGTGAGTGAGTGACTCTACTAGGTTATAGTATTTCATAATTGTTATCTCCATCGACTATATATGAAATAAAAATGAATTATTTAAAATAAACTCTATGATTAAGTAGGTATCATTACCAAGTTTTAATTTGATAATTTTGAATAAATTGAGCATTGGGTAGATTATTATAAATAAATAATATATTTGTAATATCCTAATGAGTAGAAAAATTAGATTATCTGACGTTTCGTGACTCAGGGTAAGCCACTTCCTCAGAGAATAAATAACCAAATTAACATTAATCCAAGTTTAAATAGTACAACGGAACAACATGAATATTTGGTGCAATCAATCAAAAAGCAGAAGAACTCCAAAGGATCTTAAGATAACACAGAATTAAAGTATATTACAAAACAACGAACACACTTTGAAATACTTTAGCTCGATGAAAAGAAAAATCCCATTCATTTCTGCACAGAACTGCGTCTACAAATTAGGTTGTATCGATTGTGATGCCTTCTATATTAGAGAGTCATCACGCGAAATCTTGACTTATGCCAAAGAACATATAGGGTACACAAAGAAACCTCCTAATAGTCCTGTAGAACTGGATAGACTCCAAATTAAATCGGTAATAGCAGTTCATGCCATTTTCAACAATCATCAAATCGATTTCAAAAATATTAAAATGTTACAAAAGGGCTTTTTCAATTATAAAGAAAGGAGAGTAGCTGAGGGGTTCCATATAATGCTTAATCCTACTGCTCTCAATAGAAAGGAAGGCCTTACCATAAATCCTACTTGGACTATCTGTCCTAGTCACCTAGTCTGATATCATTTGCAATCCACACTATTACCTTACAAATTAAACTCTATTCCTTGTCACATTTTTCATCATTAACAGTGCACACATACGCACACAAATTTTACATACATGTCCCTTATGAATCACCTTGACCGAAATGACATGACATTGATTTATTCACACCTGTTTTTTGATTGATTGCACCTAATATTCTTTGATTGTTCCGTTGTACTATTTAAACTTGGATTAATGTTAATTTGGTTATTTATTCTCTGAAGAAGTGGCTTACACTGAGTCACGAAACGTCATGAAATCTAATTTTTCTACTCATTGGGATATTGCAAAAATATTAATTTATTTATAACAATCTACCCAATGCTCAATTTATTCAAAATTATCAAATTAAAACTTGATAATGATACCTATATTATCTATGTATAAGTATCTGGATGAAAGCAAAAAAAACTCTACTAGAATGAAGACGATAGATGAATGAATGAACTTTATTGCAAATAATCCTTTCAAGTTTAAAACTAAGTTTGCTTTTTGTTCAAATCATCTTATTTAGTGGATAATACAAATTTGGTTAACTTGTTTTAGTTAGCAACATTTAGTCATGAACTAATAAGACGTAAAAATATAATAGTTAGTTAAGATAAATATTTATCATAATAAATAAACAAATGACATTTATAAACCTTCTAACAAAAGAATGAAATCTTGATTAAAGTTTAAGAAAAATGCACTAGACAAAACTATATACTACTGTTTTCTTGTACACAATTGAAAAATATTTACTTTTGAATTTATAGGAAATATAGAAAACCTCATAATGAATTCTTTTTAATACATTAGTTTGATGGAGAATACTGATGGGCGGCCTATGCCCCCCTCAACGAGGAGTAAAGGCGTTTTAGTGTCGGTTGCTATGGTAAGCTCACACAGCTTATTTTTATCTGACTATAAAAATCGAATAATGCTTGATTAAATCGAGTTGGCTCACACTCCTTCACCACCACGCGTCATTTTGCTTTTTTCTCTCCTCTTCTCTTTCTTCGCTTCGTTTCTTCGATAGTTTATCTCGATCAACAATTGTACGAAATATACGTATTCAAAACTTCATTCTCGTATTTGACTTCTTTAATTCTGTTATACACTAAGGCAAGTTAAGTCAATGATTATATACGAGGATTGGCGACATGTATATTTCAATAACAATCGTTCGTACGATCTAACTGGAGTCAGATAAAGGGCCACTAAAGCCTAAGTAAGTAAGCAAGTGCATTAGTTGATCTAAATAGAAATGTGGTAATGATTTAAATGCCTTTAACTTCAGATCTATCATTCTTATATCCATTGATAGGTGTTAGATAAGCTTTTATGTATAGATATCAATGAACTTTAGCTCACTTGCATTTCATAACTTGTTAGTCTATTTCCGAGTTTACTAAAACTTGTAAAACTATTTTGTACATTTTTGAAAGGCAAAATGTTACTCTGAATTTTTAATTATGCAACCCTTTTATTATACGATATACATCCGTAGATATACATTACAAAAAAATAAATATTGACAAAAGTTTAGAAAACTTCCTGATTTATTCTTCTTTTTTTAATAAAGAGTCAAGTGTAATGAGATATTAAACCTGTGATGGATTACATCTACAGTATTGATCAAAGCAAATTACTTGTTTAGTAATATTGTAAATGTATTCATATAAACTATTATTTAATATCAGTGGAGTTCAACCGGGTCTGTTATGAGATAGTAACTCACTGAAGACATTGGTGGATGTGTCACTCAATTTCGTGGATTAGTTGAAGTTAGACATTAACATCGTCGGATCCCGGTTCAGTGGTCTAGAGGTTAGGTGTTCGCGCGCAAAATCGATAGGTTCTGGGTTCGAAACTCGTGAGGCGGGACCATGAATGAGCACTGCTAAGAAGTCCCACGATAGGACGAAACGGCCGTCCAGCGCTTCCAGGTTTTCCATGGTGGTCTAGCTTCAAATGACTCATGATCTCAACTATATAGAATTACTATTTAATACAAAACGACATTTTCTTTAAAAGTGCTCACAATGACTAATTTCTAACAAGATGTTAAAAAAGACGCTACAGTCAATGCAATTAATATCTAGCATCCTTAGGCAACAGTTAAACGTTTAACTGTAAATTGAAGTGTATAAAAATTAGCTATTAGTGAAAACTAATTTTTCAATGAATTGAAAAAAAGTGAGAACGATAAAAATCTATATGACTATGTGAAAATACTTTTGCTACACACACATTAAAGAGAAATAAAATTTGCAAGTTGTCATTTTCTTACTTCACCATAATTTTCAATGATATCACCATGAAGTTTTTTTCCTTGTGATCCATTTATACCAAAACCATCTCGATCAGCTCCATATCCAAAACTAAAACAATCTACACCAAGATCTAATGATCCATTTTCAAATGACCAACCAATACGTGCTAATCCAGAGTCTTCAACAATTCTCACTTCATAGTAATAAGCTCTGTCACCAAATATTCCCTATTAGTTATATGAATACAACTGTATTAATTAACATCCCTGTTGCTTTTATCGGTTTACAAAGTGTTATAAAGTAAATAAATTATAATTTAGTTTGTTAATAAGAGAGATTTTGAACATTTGTATGATTTCTTTCTCCTGTAAAACAGGTTCTATACTTCATATTGCTAGTAGTTCAAAGTAGTCATCAATGAACTACAAGCGTTTGTTTCAACTTGTTAGATTTCAATGAGGATGAGAATTTTCTCAAATTTGAAAAGACTCTGTTTTCTTACAACTATAAACGTGTTTTGTTCGTTATTACTGTTTAAAAAGTTATCAGTGAATTAGAATAGCATCAATTGATAGATTGTAGAAGTATATGTAATTCATAGCTAAGAATTCTTATCATCCATACGGATAAAAAGCGAAATAATTATTCTTTTATGGTACTACAAAGTTTGATATCCTCTTCACTAATTCTTATCAGGTAGACTAGAAAAATGGAGTAATCATATATTCAAGTACTGTTAATCATGCATGTTCTTCTTTTGGATTATAGTTTGAATCTGCAGAAAAAAAACAGTATCTTGATATCTTTGTTATCTTTAGCAATAACCACTCCCAAGTAAACGTTTCTGTTTACTCGGGTTACAACTTAACCTATAAAATTGAAGAAGAGTTATATATTCAATGGAGGATACAATATTGACCTTAATTTTATGCCATCCAACAACTGGGTTACTGTCACTCTTTACGAATAGACTAAAATATCTTGAAATGGATTGAATCAATTCAAAACTCAACGTGTTTGTTTATCTCTCCAATTCAACCCTTAAAAATTTTGTTCATTTAAAGAGAAAACATTAGAGAGTAGAAACCAAGGCTACAATTTTGACATTATGAATACATCTAAAGAGAAACGTAGACAGTTTTACAATAACTTATCTATTCCATATTTAAGTGGAATTGTTATGAACTAGAAGTAAATCCAAACTAAGAAATCTGAATACTACATCTTTTAGCTTAACCAATTATCTAATTGTGTTAGACCTCCAGAAGAAGTATTTCAAGAAAGATTTCATGCTGAAGGTTTGTTTCGAATATGCTGAGGTTATGGTATCAAACAGTCATTTTTAACCAGTGACAATTATTGTTTGATAGGAATGGGTTCTAAATTAACAAAATAGTCTCACAAAATTAAGGTAATAATAGCTAAACTTATGAACGAATCAAAAGTTTAAGCCAATAGTATGTTTACTTTGTTCACTCTAAAGCCTTGCCATCCAGTATTTTCTACAGCTTGTACAAATCGACCATTAGGTGAAACTAATAAATTTGTACTTGATGTTACATCATTTGGGTTCACCCGCCAACCAACATTCCGATTATATACAATTGAAGAATTGGGGGCGTATGATACAGCTACCCAATGTTTATTAGTCAAAGGAGTGGTTTTAGGTGGAAAATTGAATGGCTTGTCACCGAAGTTTACTTCAACTCTGGCATTCTTAAGTGATACGGCTGTAACAGAAATATTCAAAAGCGAACAAGATAATGGTTAATTTAATGGTTAATAAGACTTTAAAAATAACGTAAACCACTTCATAGCTGTCTAACAGTATCCTCGCACTTATTCATTATCTAATTTATTGAAACACACGTTAAAAACCTGGAAAACACATTTACACTACAGTAATAAGTTAACGATTTTGAAGCAACCCTAGTGGCCTGACTGAATTGACTACTGAAAACTATATGATCGTGAATTGTTATTTGATTTTGTGCTCGACAGAAACGTCATATTTAAGGGGGTTGAATTAATTATTCTATAAAGATAATTTACGAAAGATTACACCTATAAACAATCAATTAATCGATGTTTACAAATAGTATTTCTATAGGCCTTCTCAAACATTCAGAAACATTTCATTAAGGGTATTTCAAATCTGAATAAGAATGCTGAGTTTATTTTAAGCTATCTGAACATGATAGCGATGTGTTTGCTCAGTCAAGCAAAATGATTTAATATACACGGCTAATATAAATGGGTTGAAATTTATTACATTTCAATGGTATCAAATTGTCATTAAAATATATTTATTCAATAAAATACAACAGCCGAAAAAAACTCCTTTTGGACTTTCTTTTAGATGTTACAGTTTGCATCAAATTTCTGGCATGTGAATAGAAGAGAGCATGGTGTACTGAAGAACGATAAAAATCGAAGTATGAAAATGTTGATTTTAATATTATTTGAAGTTCGAAAATAAAAAAGTAATGTAGTTTCTAGTTTATTGTGGAAGATCAGATTTGGCAAGACTCATCCTCATAAACAAGCTAAAGCTATTAAAGAACAGATGGAGTATCGCTAGCAGTAAAATCTAGGGCGCACGTTTCGTCCCGGATGTACCTGGACCCGGTAGTTGTTGAGCACCTGAGAAGTCTCAAATATAACGAAATGTGTGTCCAGAATTCCATTGCCAGCCACATTTAATCTATTCTACATTGGCTTGTGTCATAATGGCGATATCTAGGCAATCCGTACATAAGCCAACCAAGCCTGATCAAACTTCAGTCAAAATATCAGCAACGAGATAATCCAATCTATTTTAAATTGAATTTAAATAAGTTCCTAATACCTTTGAATTCAATTTAAGTCTATCAACCTAAATAGTAGTACTTTATGTTTTATAACAGATGTAAGCCCACCATTTTAATAGAGGATAGATTAATCTTGAAAAGAAGTGAAGCAGTCATGGGTTATTTGTTTTGTCATACCACGATTATTGGGAAAAAATAACTACCATGGGTTTGACAAATATCTGTATATTCATCCAAGCAGTAGTTTCTTTACGTGTTAACATTCTAAGTTTAGTTTTCATGAAATAAAGAAAAGATGGTTTACTGAAGGGTACAATAAATGACTTACCAGGGAAGAGTGCTATATCTGGAGTTAATGTCTCAACAAGTTTAAAGTTTGGAGTTTCTAATAATTGGCCGTTGTAACTATAATGTATATCGATTAGTCGATTATCTTTATCAGCGCTCGGATTTATTTCTAAATAACATCCAACTACATCTCCTGGTACGATTGGCATTCCGTAATCAATTGAATTATTGGCGTAGATAAATTTACCAACTGGATGAGGATTATCAGCTGATCCAATACCTTTACATTAGAAAAATAAATGGGAAAAAGTATGGTAATATTTTATAAACATGCATTTGTTATTTCAGTTGTAAGATATTAAATGTTCCTCTTGTTTAATCTAAGGACTGAATTTTGATTAATCATAAGTAACTTAGGTAAGAGTGGCTAGTAGTAAATTTCAGGATGCTCGCTTGGAGGCTCATCAGCAGGATATACGGGCATCCGTATGGATGTTTAGTCAGTGGCTCGAACCCCTTACCTTCCGCTTCAGACGCCCAACACTTCATCTAATGAGCTGCTCGTAAATTAATGACCACTCCGAGATAGTCTGCTCAGGATGTAGATACACCAAAACAGATTGACCACTTACAGTCCTTAATATCAACAGCAGAAAGACTCAAAGACTTATAAAATAATAAAATTCTTCTCCATTGACAAGTTGGCAAATTTGAGAACCTGATGGCTCATTGGACAATGCGTTTGGCATATGAAGCGAGAGAAAATAGGTCTAAGTCCTGGATTGAACATAAAAACTGGGATGTAGATCTGTCCGACTTGTTATTACGAAACAGGAAGAAACTCTCATCTTGGATTTCACTGCTAATCACTAACTACAATAAAAATTAAGATCCAATCGTGAGAGTATAGGTGGCCTTTTTAATTAAGGCTAACTATCTTGTCCTTCAAATAGATATTAACTTCAAGATGTACTTTTGACAAGAGAACACAGTACAGGTATGTAGTTATAATTGGGAACTGTCCCACAGTAATCAGTTTTGAGTTTTCTTCATAAAATATATTAACACAAAACCACTAAACCAGAAACGAATTCTTCGTAACATCAGCTAATTTAAAACTCATGATAATTATCACAGGTGATACCGCATCGTTTATTATGTCACTGAAGTTGAATTGTTGAAAAAAATTTAGCTGAATACACTAAAATATTAGGTCTTCTGCTCATAAAGGGAATATAGTTGATAAATAGTACGCTGCCCATTTTATCAATCTTATTACCTACAAAAAATAATTTATCCACATCTTAATTTGAATCCAACTATCCTACTATATTTAGGAGTGTCCGAAACTTTGTTCTCATTCAAAAGACGAAATGTAACTAAATAATATGAGTTTAGTCAATTTATTTTATAAGCTCAATACTAGCACTTATATTCATTTTGAATTGAATCGGATAATTTACTTGCCAAAGGTTTGAATTGGTTGAAATTTATTACGATCAACTAAAATGTGGAAGCAGATTGATTAATCTCCAAATTTTACTTCATACATTGTTGGTTGAAAAAACGATTACAACAGAATCCTGAATAAAATTGTTATTGAATTAGATTTAAATACAGGTTTATAGATAATTACTGAGATATTGCATGATTCCAATGAGGAACAATTACCATAGTAATTATTGTTTCATATAAAATCTTCATTTATATGATACCAGTCAATAAAAAACTTTCAATGTTTTATGCTGAAGAAATGAATGTTTTCTAGGATGACTGTAAATTTATTAAACAAACCTGTTTTATCAGCTCCATAACCGAAGCCTTTGGAATCTGTTCCGAGAATCAGGCTAGCATCGTTTGTTGACCAACCTAAACGTACTTGACCTTCTTCAAGCATACATGCTTCATAGTAATAAGCTCCTGGACCTTTCAAACCCCAATTTGTGCGACAGCCCTAAATGTAAACAGAAAGAGGAATCAGAGGCAACTTAATATAAAAGTCGATCAAATGAAAACTTTTATGTCAATCACAAATACACCGACTTTTAAATATGTACATAATGTCTCTAGAAAGATTCAACTTTGCAATCGGCTTACTGAATATAGTGATTCTCAACTAATAGTATATACCCAGAATCTTTAACTTGATTTTACCATTTAATAATGTTATGTTGGTTTTATTCTTATTAGACTTGCTACTCTCATAACGTATTCATTAAAAAAGACTCATTGATACGGTAACCAGTTTTTGAGTAGTCTTTTAAACTTTCGGTGAATTTTCTGTTCTTGGTATTTGGGGTGAAATATAAACGATCACAATCATGTAAAGCATTTGAACGTTTAGCGGGTAGTAAAATGTTCTAAAAAACGTTTCTCTGTGAAAACTTCATAAAATGAGACCACTAATTCTGAGCATTTCATTTAATATGATCAATCAATTCATTGACCTGCTGAACGATATTGATAGTAACATTGATGACGTCACCAAATGAAAAGGAGGGCAATTATAGTGCATGAGATCAAAGAACAAAAATGTGTTTAGTACACAAAGGCAGTTATTAATTCTCCACTATCGGAACAGTTTTCATGATGATTTTATTAACTGACACTTTATTCTGTTGGCTCTAACACTTTTTCAAATTTCCTCCAATTCTAATCACATTAGCACTTTAAGGTAAGGAGTGACCAGTGATAAACAACAAATGCAATCACTGGTTTTAAAACCTCATCAACAAATTGATTACATTACTATGAAATTATGTGCTTAATAACGGCACTATTCAATCAATGGTTCTGCCAAACAAAGGTAGTGGTTCAAAAATACTTGTAAAGAATTTCTTTGGACCTCCACACAACGTATAGGTTCAAGGGATAAATCCAGTGTTAGTGACAAAATACAGAGTAAACCTTTGAGTAATATGCTTTTCATTTAGTAAGCAGGTAAGTATTTTAAATGTGTCACAATCAAAGTATTAGGGTAAAAGGGAAAAACGTTTTTCCTATTAACTCGTCAAGAATAGTGAGGCTCCTCAAAAGAATGGTCACAACGTCTAGTTCCTTCAACTCCCGTTGTCATACTGGATAGAGATTAGTTCTCAAGAGTTCTTTTGCATGTGGAGGGGAAAATTCCGCTTCATATATGTGTTCAATATCACTAATAGATTTCAGATGACTTTGTATTGTGTTGGCATCTTCTGAAAACCAAATTTTATGTACTCTACATAGGTTTTGGAACATTTGTAATAAGATTCAATGAAAATAGGAGAAGTGGATAGCCTTAATGGACACTACTTGACACAGCTAATTCAGATAACAGTTTCATGTAGGCCTCCTCTCGAATATTTGCATTTGATCGAAAAGCGGTCTGTAGAATGATGGACTGTAAAAAGATTTATCTGTGGGTAGACTGAAATAACGTTTTCATGTCGAAGAATACGACTACAGTAGGAATTCGGCAAACAAGTCCTTATTTAAAAATCACAGCTACATTTAAAATGCTTCAATGTTTCTTGATTTTACTTACCTTAAGTTTCAATTAGAAGGCAATTAATTAGATTGGCTAAAGTTTTAAAGACGGTATCAATCAGGCTGATGTTTCTAAGTTGATCAAGAGATGGCTTCAGATTAAATTAAAAGATAACTAGTCAGTATGGAGAGCAGTCGAATGAACTTATGTTTAAATGTCAAAAAATAATGAATACCTCGATCAGTTTATTTAGTAGTCTTAGGACATTATTATTATAGGCTACTGGATTTTATTTTTTTATTACTTTGAACTGGTAACTGTCTTTTTTATTTAGCAAATTGGTGGGGATCCAATTTCAATCCAATTTCTGGCTAACTATGGTGATAATCGACTACAGGGTAGCTGATGGAAAGCTGAAGTATTCCTAAAAGCTTTCTATCCACTGTTTTACTCCATAATACTGCAGTAGATCGCGGCTTCACAAATTTTCACTAGTTTTACTGAATTTTTAAACTTAACAAAAAGGTAAGTTAGCTTGTAGTGAACGAACACTTAAGTGTAAAAAAAGAATTTATTATTTTGTCAATAACATAGCCATCTTGATAACACCTTAGTTCATTCTTTAGCACATTCTTGAAATGTCCATTTCGGAGTTGGATTTGAAGGTGTTTTCCTTTTCTGGTTTTTCTAGACTCAGTAAGACGGCAAAACTTCCATTTTGCATGAATGAAACCAAGTAAAATTAGAGAATGAAAACTCCGAGAAGGTGATGGTATATATATTTTAATCTCTGAGTTCCTACAGTCTCTTAGATCTGGAGTGCACACTGGTGACTGGTCAGGTTCATTACATCTTTCCCCATAAATGTTTGTGGAATTTAAAACCCTTATTCCATTAAATGCATATTCACTGGTTGTTTACTTCAGTTCAACGCTGTCGCAGTTAAAAGTAGAGGGTGCTATACTTTCAGTCTATAATCAAAAGAATTATAAGTAGATCAAGATAGTTGGTTAGATTTGATCCACTTGAAATGATTCACCAGTGTTAATTTAAATGCCTGTAATGATTTAACCATATGAAGGGATTGTGATAAAATGTCTCCAAATGATAGAATTAATACGAATATCGTACATATTCAGTCTCAAAATTCTATTTTCCTAAAACGACGAAAAATGGTAGTTTGTATGCAACAAATAATCCAAGACGACTAGGTGTCTGACAATCTGAAATTCAATTTTATTACTCTAGACCAAGGCAGAGCATAAAAGTGAATAATTCAAAGAAAAATATATTGCAAGATGGCTTACCTGCCATTCTGTTTCTGGCATGGCCGCTATATCTGTTCCATCAATATTTCTTCCTAATCCTTGTGTACAATCAGCTGCTGACATTTGCCAGTGATCTTCTGGTAAAGGTACTCGAATTGGACCTGGTTTACGATAAGCTGGTGGTAAATTTTGTAAAACATCAACATTTATTGAATTAGCTGGTAGGGGAGAAGGCGTCCCAGGCATTAAATAATACTGATCAGGTTCTTCTCCATAAGCAACTGGTGCGACACTACCAGACACTGGTAATAAAATAAAAGTGGGTTGAGAAAATCATTTTGTTTCCACAGTTCATTATTTTATGTAAAAAGATTCTAATTGATTATTGAGAAATAAAAAGCAGGAATGGCTTCCCTGTACTTATTCAAAATTTGTCAGAAACTACTGTTTGTAACTTATACCAGAATCATAAATTAGTGGACCTGAAGATAAATTTACTGGTAACATATCAGTATATGTATGAAGAATAGCGTGGTCAGAATACACGCAGGTTGAACAAACACACTGATTCCAAGATGATAACTATCTCAAACCAATTGTTCGGTAACCCAAATATAAAAATAGAGTCGATATGAAATTTAATGATGTTTTGTAAATACATACGCAAACTATAACAAAGGTTGTAAATTGTTCAGATATCCAACACACAATAGTAATCTTGTCGGCATGAGGTTAAAAACAGTAAAAGGCCTCAAAAATAGTTACCGGTTACTTCGTTATAGAGAAATATTTGTTTTAGAAAAAATAACCACCAAACCTTAAACTAAATGGTTTTTTAATCGAGGATTCAAAACTTTACACTAATATACAGAGATGAAATGAACACTATTAGTTCAGTAAAGTGCAGGCAAATACGAGTTCATACCACAGCTTGATAAGAGTTTACGTATAAATTCCAGAAGAAACTGCAGTCTCCAAACGAACCTAACCAGATTTTATAGCATTATTCATTAGATGAGTTGTATTAAATAAGTTATGAAAGATGACAGAAACTTGTGATCAAAATGAAGGGCGTTTAACAAAAAATAAACTTTAAAAAACCGAAAACAATATCAGAACGCAACAACATAAACAATGGGCTAAAAACTGTTGAAAGTAAAGATACGTTAAATAAAAGTGTACAGAAATTTATTAATCACAAGATGCAAAAGGAAAATTTTAGATTATCAGTATAGGATTGTGGAGGTTGTTGAGTTTTGATGGAGATCATGAACTAATCAATGTTAGATATACATTATAAACTTGGAAGCACCAGACGACCTTCTCGTCCTGGTATAGAACTCCTCAGCATCGCACACATGGGACTCAAATCTCTATACAACTGAGTCAACATCCAAGGGTTTAAATGTGTAACTTCAACCAATCCGCAATATTGCGAGACCATCCTCCATTGTCTTCGGTGAATGACTGGATCACACATGATGGTCGCTCAATATCGTGGATTGGTTGAAATTAGACATTAACACCGTTGGATGCCGGTACGGTGGTTATGAGGTTAAGCGTTCGCGCGCGAGACTGAAGGTCTCGGATTCGATTCCTGCGTGGGAATCGTGGGTGCGCATATTGAGGAGTCCCGTACTAGGACGAGACGACCGTTCAATGCTTTCAAGTTTCCAATGGTTATCTAACATTGATCGTTTCATGACCTCAATCTTAGATTAATATAAATGTATAAGTTTGTACAATAAAATATTAAAATCAACGACATATTACATAGTAATAACAAGTAGATGAAGTCAGTATTAGTAATCTACATAGTAGAGTATTCTTAAATATGGAAAACGAAAATATATATTGCTGTATAAAGACCTTAAGCTATCTGTCTAGCAAAATCATAAGCAAGATGAGAACAAACCGGTAAAATGTGGGATATATTCAGTATTTATATTTAACACTTCCACAAAGACATTAGTATCACTTTCCATGTATTATAATTGTTTAACAAAAAGACAAGTATATATTTGACTGACTGAAATGAATTATTTTTTTGCAATCAAACTAGTCCAATAGATAACTGTTTCTTTAATATGCACTTGCTATAGTAAATGTCTATAACTAATGACAACGGAACATATGTAAATAAATTGAGTAAATACATTAAATTCGTAATATTAATCACTACCATCCTTTTTCTAAAATTACATTTGAAAGTATTTTCAATAAAGAGATTAACATCAGACTGTAAGTTTCATACTTAGATACGGAAATCTCATTTATCCAAAACAAGAATCATGACAGAAAACGTATATTTTACTCTAAGTATGATAGTTTTTGACCAATCACTATATAAATAATTCCAAACATAAATGTCTGCGCATATTTATGAAATGAAAGTTAACCTTTGAGTCATTAGAATTTAAAGTAAATTATTCGCAGTTAATTCAATCCCAAGATTAATAAAAAACTACGGAAAAGTGTCTGAGAATCTTAGAAATGATATACGATAACTAACTGTTTAAGTATTTTTAACCAATGATGGTAACATTCAAAATATACTTCAACTACAGTGGATTTGAATTGATGTTACTCATTAACGATAATGTTCAACATATAACGTATTGGTTTTAATTCAATGAGATAGGTATGTATGTATCTTGAAGAATGTTTAATATATAAGAAAGTGAATAAAGTTGTCAAACTAGAGTTGACTCCTTACAGAGTCAAGTGATAATTTAATCGAATATCCTTCATCCGATAATAAAGGTTGAACAGGTCTTTAGTCGCTTAACAATGTGTTCATCTTGTATTGGATTATATTATCAGCTTATATAGCCTGAGAAACTAAAAAAATTGAACAATTGTTTAATTACAAACCAGGACTTTTCTGTATGTTACAATATATATATGTTCCCAATATCTCACTCCAAAGATCAAACTCAAGATATTAGTGCATAGTTAGGACCATAATACAATCAAACTATTGGGCTTTGATATAATGATTCACATTTGTAACGTGAGCTAGTTGTCGATGTTAAGCAACCATTATTCATTACCGCAGTGATATATCTTACTCCTTGTATGGTTAGGTTTCATCACTCATATTTTCCAACACAAACTTTAAGGATTTTTCTCAGAGGTACCCACTAGGGAGCACATAACTAATATAATGGTAATGGATTTTGAAATATTAGTCTATGTGAAATAAAAATTCCTGAGTGAAAACTGACTTAAAGTTTGATAGCTTTCATAAATCCATATGGTGAAAATGTCATTGGTAATGTTGTTAGAAATTCACATATATAAACGCGCAACAGAGTTGGTATTTGGAAGGGGTTTTATGAAGATTTCAGTATTTTCATAGTTGAAATCATGAGTCAATTGAAGCTAGACCACCATGGAAAACCTGGAAGCACTGGACGACCGTTTCGTCCTATTGTGGGAATCCTCAGCAGTGTGCATCTACGATCCTGCCTCACAAGATTCGAACCCAGGACTTACCAACCTCGCGCCAGAGCGCTTAACGGCCGTCCAGTGCTCCCAGGTTTTTCATGGTGGTCTAGCTTCCATTGACTCATGATTTCAACTATGAAAGAGTTGATATTTAATGAAAAAAAACAGTTTCATATCAAAATACTAATGTTAGTTAAATGTATGAAATCAGATATGTCATCTGAGTAGTTTTTTATATCAGTAAATCATTCATAATTATCGGTTAATTAAAAAATAATTACACACAAATACTGTAAGCATATTAAGCATAAACCACTAAATTAAAGGCAATATTGATTAGGATTGTTAGAACTGTTAACTACAAACTTAGTGTTAATAGAAATAATTATTCTTTGAAAGTCTAGAACATGTATATTCTAACTTGACCTACCTTGATGTTGTTGATTTGATGGACTAGATGAAGGAGTTTTTGCTTTTGAGATTTAATAAAATATATACTATTATAGTATAATGAATGATATATACGATCATTAAAGATTATTGATTTATTATAACTGATTATATAATGGAAAATTTCAATTAGATCGAGTAAAGTGTTTGAATGTTACAGACTAAAAACACTAAAATTAACAAGGAAACATTGTTCAGTTCTCTATACTTTCTCAAATATATCTTTCCAATATTTACTCGGTTATGAAACTTAATTACAAATAAATACGGTTTTCATTGTTGAAATCATGAGTCAATTGAAGCTAGACCACCATCGAATACGGTTTTATTAAATTGATCAATAATGTAACAAATCAGAAGGGGGTTTTGTGGAGATTTCAGTATTTTCATGAGTCAATTGAAGCTAAACCATCATGGAAAACCTGGAAGCACTGGACGGCCATTTCGTCCTATTGTGGGAATCCTCAGAAGTGCGCATCCACGATCCCGCCTCGTGAGATTCAAACTCAGGACCTACCAGTCTCGCGCCAGAGCTTCCAGATTTTTCCATGGTGGTCTAGCTTCAATTGACTCATGATTCCAACTACGGAAAAGTAACAAGTGATTTATATTTTATCCTATCTCCTTCAGAAGAACATTAACTGTAATCTTACTGATTAAAGTTTTTCATTATTTTATTTAACTGATTATTTTCTTCGTTTTAGATTAAATGTAGTAAATGAGGTACGATTATTGGTTTGATAGTAAACAATGTCAGTGACTCTTCCAATGATAAATTGATATTTAGGTCGTACTTTGTTAATATATTTTACAGTGAAAGATACATTTCATGTGAAGGAACTGTTAAACTTCAGTAATCAATCTTGTAATGTTTACAACCTGGTCATGATAGTTTTGATTCCATTTGATGACGTAGTATAGTTTAAAATAGTGATAGATGTTGATATGAATGAAAATGCAAAAGGTTTCTCTTTGAATACGATAAACAATGAGGAACAGACAAGATGACTTGAGTGAACCACTAGAATAGATTAAAAAAGCAACTTAAAAGATTATTAAATAAATCACATCGATTGCAACTGGTATTTCTGATTGGTACAATTGAGAAATTGAACAAAAAGAGCCTTTAAAATATCTCACTTACTGTACTGAATCGGCTTCCTTTGAGTTTGCACCCGCTTAATTGGAGGCTGTTGTCGTGGAATCCATTCTGTGCTAGGTTCTCTTGAATATGCATCGAATGATTTACTTGTAAAATGGTATTTTCGCGTACTAAAAGCTGTCGTAAGATTAGATCTTTGAGGTCCTGGTGTATCACGCAAACTAATCATTCATAATTAAATAAATCAAGACAAATTCTAAAAGGTTATCATTTGTATATGTTTAAAATAATTTGAAAATCTTTCTGTTATGAATTCACAGAAAACACTAATAATTCATTGTTTGCTAATTATTTAGTGGAATCGTGTACATATTCATCCTATTTTCCATTGCAAAAGGGAGTTGTCAACATTTACAAATATTACTCAATTACTCGTTTTAAAATTTTAGGTATCAATAAAAAAAGGGTTGGTGATCTGTAATCTAAACCATCAAATAAGTGCTTGTAATCTAACCGACTGAATCTACTGGGAAAATGTATTGAACGTTGCACTTTTTGAGACATAACTCACATCTCAGTCTACAGTGAATTCCAACAGAGATGAGATTTACTGGTAGCTAAGGAAGACCTACATGTAATTAGGCTTCACACTGCTAATGGTAATGTCAGAAGGTGGCTTAATACTGAAATCTATCTATTCTAACAAATAACCACAATTATCTATAATGTTTATCAATGTGCATTAAAAGGCGTGTAACAGCTCATATTTATGCATTTAACATATTATGTGTTCGTTTGAAGAAAATATAAATGACGTAATACAGTTACTTAAATTAAAATTTACCTGGTGGATTACACTTTACGTAATCGACTAACTTGGATTGCTAACTTATTTATAGAGATGTAATAATAGCTAATGTCATATCCGAACGAAAAATAAATGAATGGTAACTCCTAGGGATTATTTATGGACTATTATTACATATATTCCTATTGGAAAACTATTAAATAACTATATTACATGTATATTCATATTCCTTTTATAATAAGCTTTCATTCGACTTATTGCCTATTATTATACAATTTACTATTCTTAAGTTATTCCCAATCTATTAGCTAGAGTATCTTACACTTAATACATTTTTGGCTTGATGTTGTATAATCCTTATGGCGTGTTGAGGTTTGGTTTGCTTGCATATAAACTACGTATGTTTGAAATATATTCTTCATACAGTGGAGGCTGAGATTGTGTTCTGGATTCAACGGGCAAGACTAGGCTGGAAGGAACAATAAAGATTCAGAGTTGACGCAAGGCTGTTAGTGTTGGTCGACGTGCCATTAGTTTAGCACAAGAACAGGGTCATGTAAGTTATATCTTGATTGGCGATTATGTAACGTGATAATTGGCAAAGGCAAAAGCCTTAATAGCTAACATATCAACATGTTGGAAGGAAACCATACGGCTAATCAAGTTGTTGCATCAGTCCACAAGGTCATGCGGTATAAGTTTGAACTAAATAAAGAAGAAGGGATTTTCTTATCCGAATGTAAGGTAAAGTTGTAATCAGTACAGACGTCACTTAAAATCGATTACAGTGACAAAAACGTATTGGTTCTTTATTTTTCCTTATGTGTTGTGTATTGCTTCACAATATTATTTCCCCTAGGTTTATTGCTCTTTTCAAACAGTTTTTTCTACCTAGTATTTTAAGTAATGATTATCAGCACTATTATTTCAGTTGTATTGTTATCATTCATTTTAATGTCTGTCATGGCATAGTAACTTTATTTGATGCACATCAGTTTCAGGTCTTATGGATATCTAATTTGTTACTTCCTTAGTTTTTTGAAAAAAGAATAATACACCATATGTTGAGGAGAACTTTCTACTTATTTGCTCATTCGGAGTTATATGTTACATGGAGCTGTTTTTTCGCTTATGATATTTGTTTTCCCATACGACCAACTCTTTTCCACTGAAAACGTTTTTTTAAGTATGCAGATCACCTAAAAACACAGATTTCAGTTTTTTTCTGTTTAAATTACTTTATAAGTAAATGTTACCTAAGGGACGTTTCACCATGCTATGAATGGCCCTACTCTGAATCTTTCTGAGCTTCAAACTATTGACTTTGAATTTAATCTTAAAAAGGAGTTGACAGATCAATGGAGTCAAACGTTGTCTCGACAATTCGTAAAAGCATAACTTATCGTATTTATTTTGGTGTACATTTCCATAAGATTTCAATTGGTCTTAGTACATTTTGTTAACAACTCAAAAAAAATCCATTCAACTTATTCAAAAAGGCTGTATTCTTGGCCTTACCCAAAATTGACTTTTTATACTTTAAAAATTTTAAATAAATGCATATGCTTCTTTATCATTTCGTATCATTCTTTATCAAACCCTTTGAAATAAAACTATACTATTTAGCATAGAATACTGAGGATTAGTGGTGAAATTTATAAATGAATATAATTGTGAATAAACCTTTGAAACCTTATCTATAACAACTCTATGTGCTTTATTTAAATAAACGTCATTCGACTGGTTCGCAAGATTCTTTTAGTTTATTCTTCGGTTAAACTAATGATTTCGTTAGAGTCTACGCATGGTAGCGTAATACAAGAGTTCCACAATACATAACTTATGTGAAACAACGAACAGTTTAAAATAAGACTTAGCACCAAATCCTTTAAGGTTAGATGTAAAACTTAAATGATAACTATTGTATCTACTATTTAATTTTTTAAAATTGCAGGCGAAAGCTTGCCCATTGAATAGAAATATTCAATAGCTAATAAAAATATAAACATTTTTATTTGAACTACCATAAAGGGATATACGTTACATTGAAATAACAAGATCAAAATAATTCGAGTAGTACATGAATTCTGCATTTTAGTGTTTCTTGTAAACAATATTTGAGTTCAAATTCACTTAATATTGTTTGTTTGAATCTTCCCATCGATGTGTTTGGACTGCAAGTGGTCAGTCTCTAATTGGCATATGTGCATACTGTGCGTATTGCCTCGATATAGCCTTGATTCACAAGCATGATAAGCAAAGATGGATAGTGGCTAGCAGTGGAATCCAGGACGCGTGTTTCGTTCTATTTGTGACTCGTCAGCTGGATATACCTGCATCTCAGAGTTGATGTTCACTCTGGGACTCTAACTCAGTACCCTCGCTTCAAACACCATCGCGTTATCCACTCGGTCACTGAGTCCCAGAGTGAACATCAACTCTGAGATGCAGGTATATCCAGCTGACGAGTCACAAATAGAACGAAACACGCGTCCTGGATTCCACTGCTAGCCACTATCCATCTTTGCTTATCATAATAGTTGAGTTCATTGTGAAACACTTTTCATGAACTTAATCGCTCATGAAGTTTGTCAAGGTTTCCATTTTATTTTACTCATTTTCAAATTACGAAAAACCACGTGTATTCCCAATCAACATGCCACTACTACAGTTAACAATTATCTTTATTTGAGATCATGAACCAATCAATGTTAGATCACCATTGGAGACTTGAAAGCATTGGACGGCTGGTTTGTCCTAGTATGGCATTTATCAGTAATGCACATCCACGATCCCTCATGAGTGACTCAAACCCATGACCTTTGGTCCCATGCGAGGACGCTTAACCTCCTGACCACTGCGACACCATCCAGCGGGTTCGAGTCCCACGTGTGGATCGTGGATGCACACTGCTGAAGATTCCCATGCCAGGGTGAGACGGTCATCCAATGCTTCCAAGCTTTCAGTGATGGTGTAGTGTCGGTTACTATGTTAAGTCAATATAACTTATCCCAGCTTCCGGACTAGCCAATTTATTCATCCTCTGTGAGTTACGTTTTGACCTTGTTGATTACTCGCTGTTTTTTATATGAGCGTATGTGTTTGTATTTCCTATCTTATTCATCACATGTCTGTAACTTATTTTTATCTGACTATAAATTTTCGAATAATGCCTGGTTAAATGGAGTTGGGTAAGTCGTCTTCTCCATTGCGCGTCGTTTTGGTTTGCTTCTCTTTCCGATCAACGATTGTATAAAATATACATATTCAAAATCCATTCTCTTATTTGACTTATCTAATTACGTTATACTTTAACGTGGGTTAAGTTGATGATTATATACGCTGATTGGGAAATGTATATTTCAATAAAAATCAGCATATAGTCTAACTGGACTCAAATATCGGGCCACTAAAGTGGTCTAACATTGACCGGTTCATGAATTCAATTAAAACTCCAGAATCTCCACAACAAGTATCCGTTCAACTAAATACTGACGAACTGTTAATTATCACTGAATTGTGATCATAAATAGTGCATGTTCTATTTTGTCTTTTCATAAGAAAGCCTATCTAAACTCAAAATAATAATCTCAGTTGATTAGCTATTATGATTTGGCTATTTGAGAAAAACATAAAAAGGAGAAATAAAAACCTGTTGTAAATTAATCTACTAAAGATGATTGGTTGAGAAACTGAAATTTACGGTTAATTACATTTGATCAATGATTTTTTCTATAAAATACAAATTTTTGTCTCACCTACGCCCTAAAATTTGCTTGATATTGTTGATTAAAGTAATTTCTCTTAAGATGATGTAATAGCTAAGCCTTTTGTAATCCATTTGCCTAAATGATGGTTGATTTCTGTGTTTATTTGTTGCATAATGTATTCGCTCGTAAGCAAGGGCCCCAAAAACCGTTTTACTACTTTTGATTACAGTGATTATTAACATAACGATGTATATATTAATGCATAACTAGTATAAGGAAGAAAACATCTTAATAAGACATTTAAATTTTTACGTACCGGAAAAATGCATGTTGCGAAGTACAAGAATCCCATAATCTTTTGGCTAAACGGGGGTCTGTACACTGAAAAGTCAGTGTTACATCATGAATGGAATCGGAACCATTGAACTTTCTATCAGATACTTTCAAACCACCAGGCGATAATGTTCTTCTTAGAGTTCCACGTTTACTCAAAGTTTCGCTGTGCATTGATCTAACGACAATAATGAAATTTTTTGATTTGTACAATATTTTTACAATTTGTGGCCACAAAAACCGATTAACCCTTAACATCCCATGATAAAGTAATATTCCACCGTGATATACACCTAAACATATACTTTCACCAGCAATCGTCTGTAAAATAGATGAAGAATATTAAAAATCACTAATAAAACTTCTATCATAAGCTTTCTATCAAAATTCTAAAAACTAAATATATTTAACCTATGGACAATTTTGTAGTTGGTTTTAAATAGATTTTTTCAAGTGACATAATTTATTACCTATGGTAAAACCCTGAATTTCTTAATTAAATCATTCCCCTGTCACTTTAGTTGCCATGACAACAGTGTTTAATAACAACAACAATACGAGAAGGGATTAGATAGAGATAAGACTAAACTTCTAGTCATTAAATCCCATTTTTTGACGAATAAGTAATACAAGATTATCTAACTGCAATTTCGTTCAATAATAGTAAATTGACAGTCTGAGTAATTAAAAGACATAACTAACATGAAAATGAAATATGCAGTTATTTCTTCGCATCACTTTTCAATAAAACAAGTTAATAAAACTTGTCATACTACTTGCAACATATAAGTAGTTATTTACTGTATGATGTAGATGAAAAGTAAAGACAGAAAGTATTGCCTAGTATTGTCGTCTTGATTATAGAACATGGCGGAAAGTTCCGACGGAAGATGAAACAGACACTCTACACACCACATGCAGTGTTTTATGAAGTTATAATCATCTAATTAAAGTTTAGTAATATCGGCAAAATAAGTTACCGAGTTACACAAAACCATCAACAAATAAATGAAAAGGAATGCAATTAGTTAATTGGTAATTAATATATAACCATAAATATGTTTATGATCAAGGAGTTATAATGACTTAAAATATGATATCGTAGTAACTAATAAAACCAATCTCCAACGTAGATTGTAGTGGTCAAAGTGCATTTTACACGTAAATTTACAACTTTAAAATTGGAATTTGTAAGAACAGTTATTTTCATATTGTTGCGATAATTCTTTAACAAATGGAAAATCAAGACTGCTAGTTACAGCTGCTTTTTTTAAAAGAATTTTGTAGGATATTCAGATTCACTAACTGATTCCATATTTCAGAAGCAATATATTGTGTTGTTTAGCATTATCATTGATAAGGAAAATACATGAGAATTGTTTATTGATGAATAAACATTATGAGGCTACAAAATGTGTAATATTTTCATTATTTACTGGGTGAAAAATCGAATGACCGATAGAATTGGAACTAATAATCAGTTTCCGCCAATTCATATTGTCACTTGAGACATTAACGACTAATGCTGTGAAGACTTATTTACGTGGCTTTCACTTATACCCTTACTTACTTACTTACGCCTGTTACCCCTCGTCAAGGAGCATAGGCCGCTCACCAGCATTCTCCATCCAACTCTGTCCTGAGCCTTACTTTCCACTTCTTTCCAGTTACTATTCAACCTTTTCATATCGGCTTCTATTTCCCGGCGTAGTGAGTTCTTTGGCCTTCCTCTTTTCCGCTTCCCTTCCGGATTCCAAGTTAGGGATTGCCTTGTAATACACATTGGTGATTTCCTTAATGTATGTCCGATCCAATTCCAACGTCTTTTCCTAATTTCCTCTTCAAATGGAAGCTGGTTTGTCCTCTCCCATAGAACAATATTGCTGATAGTATCCGGCCAGCGGATGTTGAGTATTTCGCGTAGACATCTGTTTATAAATACTTATACCTTCCTGATGATGGTCGTAGTAGCTCTCCACGTTTCAGCTCCATACAGTAGGACTGTCTTGACGTTCATATTAAAGATTCTTACCTTGAAATTGGTTGAGAGTTGTTTTGAGTTCCATATGTTCTTCAATTGTAGAAATGCTGCCCATGCTTTGCCAATCCTCGCCTTTACATCTGCATCCGATCCTCCTTGTTTATCAACGATGCTCCCCAGGTACTTGAATGTTTCCACCTCTTCCAGAGTTTCGCCATCAAGTGTGATTGGGTCGGTGTTCTCCGTGTTGCATTTGAGAATCTTGCTTTTTCCTTTGTGAATGTGGAGGCCTATCGATGCAGAGGCTGCTGCCACATTTGCGGTCTTCATCTGCATTTGGTCGTGTGTATGAGAGAGGAGGGCTAGGTCATCTGCGAAGTCCAAATCATCTAATTGATTCTGAGAAGTCAATTGTATTCCGTATTTCCCTTCAGATGTCGAATTCTTCATAATCCAGTCAATCACTAGAAGGAAGAGGAATGGGGAGAGTAGATAGCCTTGTCTGACTCCGGGTCCTTACTGGAAATGCATCTGTCAGCTGTCCTCCATGCACCGCTTTGCACTGTAGTCAATCGCATAAGTTTTGGATAATGTTGACAATCTTTTCAGGAACTCCATAGTGTCGAAGAAGTTTCCATAATGTTCTCCTGTCCACGCTGTCAAACGCCTTCTCATAGTCAATAAAGTTGACGTATAGTGATGAGTTCCATTCAACTGATTGTTCAACGATGATCCGTATTGTCGCAATCTGGTCTGTGCACTACCGATCCTTACGGAATCCAGCCTGATGATCCCTAAGTTCGGCGTCTACTGTGTCTTTCATTCGATTCAGCAGCACTCTGTTGAAAACTTCTCCTGGTACTGATAACAAACTGATACCTCTGTAGTTCTCACATTTGCTCAGATCTCCTTTCTTTGGTATCTTGATGAGATATCCTTCTTTCCAGTCCGTTGGCACTTGTTCCTCTTCCCAAATCTTCTTGAATAGAAGGTGAAGCATGTTTGCAGTTACTTCAATGTCTGACTTCAATCCCTCAGCTGGTATATTGTCAGGTCCTGCCGCCTTCCCACTTTTGATTTGTCTGATGGCCATCTTGACTTCTTCGATCGTTGGTGAAGTGACATCTATTGGAAGGTCTGTGTGGGCTGCTTCGATGTTCGGTGGATTCAATGGGGCTGGTCTATTCAGCAGTTCCTCGAAGTATTCTGCCCATCTTTTCCTCTGTTCTTGAATCTCAGTGATTGTCTTTCCTTCTTTGTCTTTGACTGGTCTCTCTGGTTTGCTATATCTCCTTGCCAATTTCTTCGTCGTATCATATAGTTGTTTCATATTCCCTTCTCTTGCAGCTTTTACCGCAATCGTTGCTAGTTCTCCCATGTATTTCTGCTTGTCGGCTTTAATGCTTTTCTTCACTTCCCTGTTTGCTTCTGCGTAGTCTGCTTGTGCTTTGACTTTCTCTGCTCGTGTTCGGCTGTTGTTAATTGCTAGTTTCTTGTTCTTCCTTTCTTGAATCTTGTTGAGGGTTCCCATAGAGATCCATTCCTTGTGCTGGTGCTTCTTAGGACCAAGAACCTCCTGACACGTTGAAGTTAGTGCTTCTTTTATCCCTTTCCAGTTGTCCTCCAAAGTAGTTTCTTGTTCTTTCAGTAGATCCTGTAGAGCCTGAAACCTGTTGTTGAGAGTTATCTTGAATTCATGGAGCTTGTCAGTATCTCGAAGGAAGGCTGTATTGAACCTTTGTAGTGCTGTTTGTCCAGTTGTCCAGTCTTTCTTTAGCTTCAGTCTCATCTTGGCCACAACCAGGTGGTGATCTGAAGCTATGTCAGCTCCTCTCCGGCTTCTCACATCTTCCATTGATCTTCGGAATTTTTTGTTGATACAGATGTGATCTATCTGGTTCTCTGTGGTGTGGTCCGGCGAGATCCATGTAGCTTTGTGTATGCGCTTGTGCGAGAATATTGTTCCGCCTATAACAAATTTGTTGAATGCACATAGGTTTGCAAGTCTCTCCCCATTTTCATTTCTCTCTCCTAATCCATGTCGTCCGATTATATCTTCATATCCTGTGTTGTCCACTCCAACTTTAGCATTTAGATCTGCCATCAGGATGGTGAGGTCCTTTCGTGAGCACTTCTCCATAATTGATTGCAGCCTTTCATAGAACTGATCTTTATCATCGTCGTTGCTATCATTGGTGGGTGCATAACATTGGATAACGTTCATTGTGATCCCTTGTTTCTTTGTTCTGAATGATGCTTTGATTATCCTGGGTCCATGAGATTCCCATCCCACAAGTGCATTTCGTGCTTCTCTGGACAGCATTAGAGCAATTCCCTGAGTGTGTGGAGCGTTTTCCCCTTCGTGACCGGAGTACAGCAGCATCTCTCCTGTACCTAGCCTTTGTTGTCCAGTTTGTGTCCAATGGGTTTCGCTGATTCCGAGTACTGCCAAGTTGTATCTCCTCATTTCCATTGCTATTTGGCTGGCCTTTCCTGTCTCCCACATTGTCCGGACGTTCCATGTACCTATAAAGAGTGTTTCTCTGGTTGTTAGAAGGTGCATCGGTCTCGTGACTTCCGAAGAATTTCGGCTTTCATCATGAGACGTCATTATTCCTTCAACTCCCAGGACAGAGTTTAAATGGTTTGAATTATTTTTTCTGGTTAGCGTTTTTTTAGCGAGTTAGCTTTTCTACGGGATGGGGTCGCTAACTCCATGCCCAACCCTCCTCCTTTGTGTGAGCTTGGGACCGGCAGTAACTCTCGAAGAGCTACAGGCGGAGTTTTCACTTTTACCCAATACCAGCATATTTGCTTGGAAATAAGACGTCGAGTCCATAAATTTGAAATGATGAAAAATATTACTAGGCGATTATAGTGAAGCAAACTGATTACTTTAGATAAGATAAGCCTTAACATAATAGTTAGATATAAATGTATGGGGTGTTAAAATTTCTTGAGCTGTTTGAAAAGCAAAAAATACCTCCTACTTCTCAAGTTATGATAAGTAACCGAGCACACTTAGCAAAACTGTATGACAATGCAGCGGAAACATGATGAATCATGTTCTTACCTTCATGGTAATAACAATAATGATAGGAGTAAAATACTAGACTTACTTTTGCCCTGTGAAATTCAACTCCATAAAGTGAAAGTCGTCTAGCATTTTCCAAAAATCCTCGATCAGCCTGAACTAAACTTTGCCCTCTATAAATCACAGAATATATTGAAATAAATAAATTCATTCTCTAATTTTGTTGTCGTCAGTTTAATAAATGTTGTTAAACAAAATTATCTATGTGGTTGGTTATTATTATCCATGGCATTGGCAAAAATATGAGTTAAATAATTCGACTAAGAAAAATCATGAGTATGTCATAAATGTTAATGTTTATCACTACTATTGTGGTATGTGCTATTGATGTTGACAGATATAAGTAGTGTGTATCATCAATCGAAAACGAAATGCCTAGCGACAAAAGGTTAGGAAGATCGAAGAGAAGAGAACGAGAATAGAGAGTGACTGGTGTGGAAACGAAAAAACAACGAAGTCTGAGACGATTGGTTAACATTTCGCAGATGAAGTATTCACTGTATTGTTCTCAGATTTTACTAAGATGCTCTGTAACTTTGTATTGTCCTCACTTATTTTCTCGTTCACTACACTATGTTTAAGAATTGTTAATATAATTCGTTCATCTCGGGTGTGAATTACACATAGAAAAATGTACAAAGTTTGTAAATCATAGCTATTAAAGCTAACATCACATAGATATTCATAATTTTAAATCATAATTATATTTTCGCATATTTTCTTCAATTGACTTCTGGTAAATTACATCTTCGAAAATCTGACTGCTGATACATCATGCAGAATAGATCAAATTGAGCAATTATTTGTTATTCAAAAGAATGCATTCGTAGATTTATCATCTCCTATTCCATAACTATTCATTAATAACAAAGCTGATACTTGTGTCCTTTTCTTGATCTACAAATAATATTATCATATTGTTTGTCACCACAAATTTCGTCCAATTTAATCATTTAAGTTTGAATATGAACTTTCCTTCAATAATTAGTTTTCTTTTAAATCCGATGAAACAAAAACCAATTACTTTGACTACTAGTTAGGGACGTTAGCAATACCTAGTAAGTTTAATTGATAAGTTTATTTAAAACTGTTAATTGCTAAGCTTTACTAATGTTTAACCATAAACTAGAACATCATAATGATTAGTTTGTGAATTAACCACATCAACAGAATGATAAATTCATTAATGAATTCAATGTTCATTACAGATTTCAACATCCATTAAATGAGTAATTTAAAAAGATCATTCATCAATTGTGTTTTGAAATTCAAGCCCAACATGGTATTATTCTGTTTTCTAGTCAGAATGTTTCTCAAATTAATACGCCCTTAAGATTTCTAGTACCTCTTTTTTCAAATTTTCAGTTGTTTTTAATTTGTCTGTCTTAATTTTAGGTAATAATGCTTCATTTATTATGTGGTGAGTTGTTTATTTATCAATTACTGTAAATTAATTGTCTTGCTCTATTTGAGGGATGAATAAATTTTTAATTAAGTGGAATGAAAAAAAAGTTTTATGTAAATCAATATCTGCTTCCTGAAGATAAAGGCCTCATCTCAAATCCACTTTTCAAAACAATATTAACAGATTTGGATACTTTTAAATTACATATCTATGCCATTTACATATTGGAGTTTAAGTATTTGTCTAGTTACAGTTGAATCCATAACCAAAAAAAAAGAAATAGAATATTAGTTGATATATTTCCAAGTACATATGGACTAGAAACTAGATTTATGCTTCAGTTGAGACGAAAAACTATCATATTAGTAAAGTTTTAACTGTTTTACTGAATGATTTTGATCTTAACTTTAAAAAAGGGGTTAAAAGCTTTTATAATGTAAATATGTCTTTCCTCGAATTAAACATCTCTATCTAAAACTTTCTAGTTTCCAACAACCCTCTAACTCCTCACTACTAATTTATACAAGCAGTGAAACATAAAGTGGACTGCTTGTTACTTTACTTAAAAGTTGGTAAAGTTAGTAATTATGTTTTTTCTTCTAAACCACATGTATATCCCACATCAAACTTCCTTAATGTTAGAAAAATATAAAACAGATCGTCAAATAATCGTCTTCTACGTAATTAACGATTTTAGGAACATAAAACTTGCCTACTCACTTATGAAGTTTATGTAATTCAACAATTTGTTGAAGCATTTTTGTAGTTTGCAATTGTTGTGGTGCAAATGGAATATTGGCAATGTAATCTGTCCCGATATGTGTATTTGGATCATAATCTCCAGCATCTGATTGAACGACATAAGCACCAAGAACAACATAAGTATGATGTGAACATGGAATCCTATTGAAAATACAATAAATTCAGATAATTTAGTTTGCAACTATATTTTTTTTTAAAACTATTCCTCATAACTATTATATTGTAAATGAGTGTAAAACATTACTCCATCAAATATAACTAGTCCTTTAATTTTGTTTCTAAGTGATCCAGTGGATATTAATTGATTAATTAGCCATGCCTAAAATGTCAATTGTTTTATGGATAATTTCTTTAGAAAATAATAAATAACCAATACAATTTGGTTATTGGTTTACATTTGGATTAGTTGAAACATTAAAATCTATAATATCCACTATTAAAATATCTACAAAACCCCTTCTCATATTAATCAACATATACTTACTAGTAACTGGCTTCAAGAGGTATTTCCTGGAGTTCTAGTGAGAAGCAGTGACCAGTGGAGTTCAATCAGGTCTGTTGTGAGATAGTAACTCACTGATGCGTCGCTCAAATTCGTGGATTAGTTGAAGTTAGACGTTAACATTGTTGGATGATAGCCGGCTCAGTGGTCTAGGGGTTAATCGCTTGCTAGCAAGACTGATAGTTCCTGGGTTCGAATCTCGCAGCGCGTGACCGTGGATGCGCACTGCTGAGGAGTCCCATAACAGAACGAAACGGCCGTTCAGTGCTTCCAGATTTTCCATGGTGATCTAGCTTCAATTGATTCATGGTCTCAACTATTAAAATTACTATAATATCCACAAAGCCTCTTCTAACATTAAACTCTGCCTTGAAAGCATCTATGACTTATATACTTGAAAATTGTTTTTCACCCTTTTTACTAACCTGAACTATATTGACATTTTATACAATCTCAATTTATTACATGTATTGAGTTTAATATTTAAGAAACAAGCCTTAATTTGAAATAGTCAATAAAAATTCTCAATAAACTAGTTTGTTATACATATTAAACTTTTGATTTTCGAGACTATACTCAAATTCACTTTCAGCAGAATCTATTTAAATTAACGATTTTATGGTTCGTAATGAAGTAATCAATTATTCTGACATTTGTAGGCAATATGAATCATGAATAGATAATACTGTCCTTACAAACTAGGCCCCAGTGTCCTGTTATCTTTACGATGGTACATGATGATCATGATTGGATCAAAGTTTGAATCTTAGCTAAATAAAAATAAAGGGATAACATTTACAAGCATATGCCCTACTGCCACTTGAACTGTAAAACAAACAAACAATCTTTAGCCAGAAAGAATTCCAATATTTCAATTATGAAATATATCGTGATATTGAAGTCATCGAAATAATCAACATAATTACACTTAAAATTAACAAAAGTAAACTTTCAAAGGTGTTTAGTTTCATAAGCATTATGGATAGGTAAATTTAAGTACAATTTTTCTTTGTGTTTCATACAAATAGGATATTCACATTCTTAGCCTACTGAAATGTAATTTAAATGTTTGTATAACTGATTAGATTTAACTAGACAACAACTAAGAATCATTAATCACAGAACACCATTTCCATCGCAATCATGCGCTTCTTAGCGATGGGCATCCACCACTTTCAGGATTAAAATCCAGGGACAGTTACATTTCATGGCTAATGTATTATTTTTACGATGCTGGATTGATAAATATTAATAAAATGATTTTCAACTTCAGTCACTTCACAATTTTATGTAATCATGATCCTTTATCATCAATAATATCAGACTGATGTTAGACATGTTTGAATTCCACTGGTCAGAGACTCTCAATAGAACTTCAAAATACTTCTCAGTTTTATTCCAATCGTTTCGAACAGTATGAGTTTAGATATGGTAACTATAATTTCACCACACTAATAGATTTGCTTTATAATATCCAAAACGATACTAGTTTTCAATCAAACAGTACGCTCCTTAGATGGTTTAAAATTATCCAGAATAAAAACATTTTTATTCCAATTCAAGTATACCATCTTGTTTCAGTGAGTAAGTAGCACATTAACTATCTAGACTTTATTGTCACGTATTCATGATTTATTTGTTAGTAATCATGTAAAGAAAAAAAACAATATCTCTCTAATATTACTTTTAACTTAGAATTCCCAAGTGATTATGTAGTCAACATTGTTCAATGTAGATTATATAACTGATAGTATTTCTGAAATACCTCACAGTTTTAAGATTGGTTGAACTTTGTAAAGAAAAGAATATAAATTTGTTTAAAATATTTAAACTCTATTTAATAATGAAAAAAATAAATAGTTCAATAGTTTTAGAAAAAAATCATTTACTCACTGTCCAGAGATAATATCTTGCCTTAATTGTAAGCATAAAAAATAACGAGTTAAATCATCTTTGAATATATCAATATTTGGTGGATAGAATCGAATACGAAATTCTAATTTCCATGGTATTTCTTTATATGTTTAAATGAATATAAAATGAAAGAAAAAAAATTACTATTTAAGGAATGAATTTTAAAAGAAGAATATGACTAATTAGATATATAGAATAATCTTTGATAAAAAAAATTTTACTTATTTTTTAATGGTGTGATATAATAACAAGTACAAATTTGCAGATTTACACATCAATGAAACATTTGCCTAGGTAAAACAATATCTCATACTTAGAATAATAGAATAAAAATCTATGATGCTTTCATTTCTATGTAATACAGTGAAGTTTGCAGCTTCGCTTGAGCTTTTATTTTATTTATTTAAACACATATATATTGTTACAAAGGGGCACCAGATATATATGCGCCGCACAAATCACATTTGATTTGTGTGAGAGCTGTCAAACTGCCTAGGTGCCAAAACCGAAGCAGGTGGGGGCCACACCCTGAGCCTTTGACCTAAAGGTCCAGTCCACAAGGCAGTGGAGCATCGTGAGGAGATGCAGTCCCATGGTAGCCGGTGAACAACGATTGATTCATACGCCATTTGTTCCTTCAGGATACTGGAGCACATGTGCACCATTGGTTTGGAATCAGGGTTTTCCAACTCCCCTAGGTGGACTTTCTATGTCCACCAACCCGATTAAAGCGCCGGACATTCGCTTTTTGTTCTCTCAATTTCGTAAACAACACCCGCGCCACAAGAAGGCAGTGAGTACTTTTCAAAAATATATAAATTGCATTAAATCCTCAATAAACTAAAGTGTTATTAGTTTCTTTATTGAGATTTTAATAGAGAATTTCAAAGTTAAGTAATTTTGTGTTGATATGAGTTTGCTTCATCCCAATTCATTATAGTTATGTAATTATAGAGCTCTCCGGGGAACGTTTCTAAGAATTCTGAAGATTCCAAGCACGAATAAAAGAGTGAGTTCAGGCGTGGGTTTAACAACTCTATCTAATGTAGAGAATCTTGATAAAAAATATGCCAAAACGCTCTATGTTTATCAAATCTTTGTGTTCTTACTTTAATAAACACTTACTAAACATAAATGATAGTCTAAAATACTATAATGGGTGATAATAAGACTAAACCTTGAATTTTATTTAACATTAATGCTAGAAACAAAATGAATACTAAATTCACCCCAATGCACAAGCAAGTGGCTGTCAAGACTCAGTGGCCGAGTGGATAACGCGATGGCGTTTGAAGCGAAAGTTACTAGGTTCGAGCCACAGAGTGAACATCAACTCTGCGATACAGGTACATCCAGCTGACGAGTCCCAAATAGGACGAAACGCGCGTCGTGGATTCTACTGCTACCCATTATCCATCTTTGCTTAAAATGAATACTAATACAATTCATTCCTATCTATAATGGTTCATTTTTAAAGTCTAAGTTACTTCATTTTATCAATAAATGATAATCTTTATACATAACATAATCATAACGATTGATTATCAGTATTGTGAGAGTAGTTTTGGATTAGATAACTGTGAACTTGTTCATTGTAACTTAGGAACAGTATTTAAAATCACACAATATTTTAAATTACATGCTATTTAAACAAAGAAATCAAAATATTTATTCATTTTGTATTTCTTTAATAATAATGACTGAGAAAACAAGCAAGATTGATCAATGCAAACATGTAGCAAACAAAAAATAATATTGTTTAATTAATTTGATAGAGAAATTCAGTTAACATGCCAGAGTGAACTTCAGTTTAAGTGATCAGACAAAATTTATTGATATTTTATGATAAAACACAATCATCAGATTGCTGTGAATTCAGCTTGATGGTTTTATCTACAACCTAAGTAAATGGCATAATGTTTCTTATAGACGTATGGTTATTAGAGTTACCACTGCGCTAACTGGGTTGCAACGTTTAGTGTATAAAGCATAGTTTAACTCTTAGAATCAACAGAATTTCATAGATCTAGTGCATAAAGTACCTGCTGATCTAAATGGATAAAGATGACACTGGACTATATTCAATTCATAAATATTCAGGATTATCAGTAAACAACTGTGATAATGATTACAAAAGCTTGCTAAGACGAATTCCGTGGAATGTGTATACTTAGGATTTATACATTTTAGGAAAATCGAAATTTTAATTCGACTCATGAATGCCCTTTTTTTATCATGGAGTTCATGTCCATATTATGTCGTTCATTTGCTGTTCTCGTAGTTTGACGCGGTGATAATGCATTCATTTACAACACTGTGACATATAATTATCGCATCACTATTCATTTCACATTTATCTTATAGATGTATGCATAGAAAACGATTTACTATTCGAATGATATGTTTATGATTAATTAGTGTTTTCTAGTATTGATGTCGAAGATTCTTATTGCTGATCACCACTCAGCTAATGATTAACACAGTCAATTGACAGTTGAATCTTAAAGTCTCCTGATCGTTCATCTCTTCAGTATAGTGCAGAGATCATTATATACTTTTCATTATCGATTGAAATTGACTGAAGAACCTATGAAATATAACAGCATTAAGCAGACATTTAGTTACATTCTGGTGTGTTTCAGCACATATCAACTATGATTCAACGCAAGATAGATATCCAGGTCCTTATGTTTCACAAGCACCACGATAGAATTAAACGACGGAATCAGAATCCACTGGTCTAAATTAGTCATTTTTATTCAAACCTGAGTCTAGAACAGTCCTTGTTAGTTACTACACAGTATGTTTTACCTCACTCCTAACTTCATTGACATCATGAACTAAGAATTTCTAGTAAAAAGTTTATCTCTCAATTAATCAATAATTAGAACACGATTGTAATTTAAATGGTTTATAAAAGTTTGCTGATATCAATACGCTATAAGAACATCCATTTATATACTTATTAAAATTCCATTAGATTATATTTGTAAAAAATCAAAGAGTCAAATGTAGCTTTCTAACTTATTCCTTTTTATTTTTAAATATTTAAGAAACTCATGATTGATCTTCTATCATATATTTTAATCTGAAGATGTAAAGCAATCGTTATACTATTGTAAGCAAAGATGGATAGTGGCTAGTAGTGGAATCCAGGACGCGTGTTTCGTCCCATTTGGGACTCGTCAGCTGGATGTACCTGCATCTCAGAGTTGATGTTCACTCTGGGACTGGAACTTAGTACCTTTCGCTTTAAACGCCATTGAGTTATCCACAGAGCTATTGAGTTCTGATAGCCACTTTTTTGTGCAATGGGGTGAAGTTCAAATTCCCTTTGTATCGTTTGTTTGAATCTTCCCATTAATGTTTAGGACTGCTTGTGAATTGAGTCTATATCGAGGCAATACGCACAGTATGCACATATGCCAATTAGAGACTGACCAGTTGCAGTCCTAAACATCAAGGGGAAGATTCAAACAAACAAGCTTGATTTAATTTCAATTAATTTTAATTGTTTAAATGTAAATAGTAGAAATAATTATTGTTTGATAGGCTTCATGTAATAAACTACCATTGTACTTTTTATTACATTATGTCCTAAAATAATAAAACCAGACATTTCTATCCCTTTAAACTAAATCAATGATCATTTAACCTACAAAACAGTGAAATATTGTATTCAGTTTATTTTTATTTTTCCTTTGTATGTACATTTAAAAACTAAATGAGAACAAAAGTACAATTACTACTATTATTACCATTATTGTTATTTGTTTAGTCACTCACTTTCTAATTGTTTAGCTATACGTTTATCAAGTTTCAACCAATTCTACAAGATAAAATAGATAAAAATTTAATATTTAACTAACCATATAAAACAAATTAGTAAACAAATAATTAATCATAAAAGAAAGAATTTACTTAATAAATGTAAATAATACGACTATATCTTTTCACTAATTATTATATTGTGGTATGAGTTACTTATGTCTACATAAGTAGTATATGATGATGGTCAGACATAGAATGTAGTTTGGCAGAAGATCGATAAAGAAAGAACAGGGATGAAGCGCAATCGGTATGAAAATGCATAAACAATGAAATCAGAGAAGATGGATTGATATTCACAGAAAGAACGGTCAAGATTGAGACAATTGATTGTTATTTTGCAAATTAACTGTTTATTGTATGGTTATCAGATTTTAGTGAGAAAGTCTGGAATTTATGCTTAAATACATTCGATGGTCCACATTTGTGTTCTTGTTCACTACAACATCATTATAATTAAAACATAATAAATGACTGTACTCTGTCTACATTAAATTTTAAACTGGTTTTATGAAATCAGTGAAATATAAACAAAAAAGTGAATTATCAGAAATTGATTCTCTTTTTAATAACAATCTTAATATTATAATTACAGTTTAGTCTGAACAATGTAAATTTTAAGAGAAACTTTGTCAAGAGTATAACAAGATATTAGTCACGAAAATCTAGATATTCACTTTTGAAGAATGCTTATGACAACATTATATTTGCAGATATAGTGAGTATGTTAACAACTATATAGTTATTTGTATATTAGAAATGGACCACATATGAATTTTGTGCATTCAGATTTTTTTAAATAGATGACGATATAAGATATAGAAGTAGTATAATTCTTTTGTATTGGTTGTTTGAATCTTCCCATTGACTGCAGTTGATCAGTCTGTTTTGGCATATGTGCATCCTGTGCGGATTGCCTCAATATTGCTTAAAGTCACAAGCATTGTAAATAGAGATAGATGGTGACTAACAGTGGAATCCAGTATGGGCGTTTCGTCCTGTTTAGAACTTGTTAGCTGGATGTATCTACATCCGAGTTCATGTTCACTCCGGGACTTGAACTCATTGTCATTCTCTTTAAAAGTCCACTTCACTAACCCAGATACCCACTGCCTTGTACAATGAAGTAAAGTCCAATTCATTTGTATTGGCTATTCGGGATTTCGTAATGATTTTGAGGGCTTCATCTCATTACACAGGCCAGCAGCTATCTGGATCCAGTTGCTAATCGGATAAAGAGACGACATATGAGGTAGATGATACTGGGTTTGATTCCCGGAGTTAACATCAATTCTGGGATGCAGGCACATTCGACTGACGAACCCCAAACAAGGAACTAAGACTTATTAAAAAATACTTTACTACTGTCGTGAGGACGTACAACCCAATATGATGATGATTTAACAAGCTTTATCTTCCGTCTTGTCTAGTTCAGTATAGTTTAGTTATTGTGCTGTGGATAACAAGCTTACTGGGAAATGGTTATCGCTAGATGGTAATAAAATCAACTCAAGCCGATTAGAAGTGTTATATATTCATAACAATATGATCCAGATATTCCAGTGTACCAAGATTTACAGGAGCCTATCCGGATCAATCCAGTTCAATCTCATTAATGAACAGGAATAGATAATCAATAATACTTTGTAATTTTCACACATGCAACCGAATGGAATAACAATTCCTCATTTCTTGCTAAAATATTTGAACGTGGTGTTAGCTTTTCATAACATACTCATAGTACTTATGGGAATTTAATAAAAATTGTAAACAGCACATTTGTGTTCCCAGACAATATGAGATTTCAATTAACTAACAAAGGCAACCGTGTGAAAAGTGGCAGCCGTAGGTTGTAAATCATATTGATAAATGGTTTTTACATGTAATCCGACGTTAAGAAAACATTTCAAAATGTTTAGTTTTACAAAAAGAGATAAATAAACGTGAACAAGATATTTTTGTGAACAGATTGTGCTAGGTATCTTTATAAAGACGTTTCCCTGGAAAAATTAATGCTAGTTAACCAATTAACTGATTTAGATAACAGAATCATTTTTGAAATGTCCTCTTGTAGAACTTCTTATGAGTCTCGAATATATACGATTTAGATAATTGAATCTGTTATGAAATGTCCTCGTTGTAGAACTTCTTATGAGTCTCGAATATATATGATTTAGTTAACATTATTTCACTGCTTGTATAATTATGATGGAAATACCGGTTCGATTTAAATGAAACTGTATTAAATGTGCTCATATTCAGTTACTAGGATTCTAAAGACATATTCGTGTTTTGGAAATAAACTACTAACTTAAGTACATTGCTTAAGTATGCCAATATAACTGAAAATATATTGTAATCTATACTTAGATATCACAACCAATACATAGAGCCAGAAACATAGTTCTTAAGAGAGATTCTTGTAATTTTATTTTGTTCTGTTAGTTAACTTTGGAACATAAATGTAAATGTTTATCGACAAGCACACAAGAGACTTGACTAAATATGACGAACTTAGAATATATCGAAACAAAACTTTTTCATGACAAAGAAAGATGTTTCAAAGATATATATATATATATATATATATATATATATATATATATAATTTATTAGTGTTTGCCAATATAAATGTGAGTAGGTAAGTGCGATTATAAACGACACAAATTGAATATATATAGCATTTTAACTGAATCAGCTTATGATAGACCCATATACATGCAGATATTTGCATGTGTCCTTCAATTAGACTATGGTCTAAATAACATTATAAATAGATGAGTATTGTATGTATATGAATCAATTATTTGGTTTTCATTGCATATGGCAGATAAAAACACTAAAACTCATTTGCTGTTAGCTAAGAGTTTTCTATTTAGCTACAATATGGTTTATAATGATCAGGTAGTACAAGCCAAACAATCACTGAAAATATGAAATCGTATCACATCGATTATTGATCTGTTTTAAAAGTTAAAATTACGACTCTCAAAATCTATATTATCTACATATCTTTATCGATATATCATCTATATATTACCAGCCTTTTTAGCGAATAATTAATATTAGAATAAATGAAATTCATTAAAAGATGATACAGAAAGTCATTACGTTGATTATTATACAAGTTGCTATTTTTTCGGAATGCCGTTTTAGCCATAAAAGCGATCCAGTGAGTGTTGATGGCCGTTGATGTGACTTTAGGTTGGGATTAAAGTTTGTTGTTTAGATGGTTTCCGTTAGAGCATTATGAAGTGTTACTGATTTTTATTGAAAAATGTAAATCTCCGTGATAAAATTCTAGTTACAAACTTCACGATAAACTCTTATAATGTTAGTTCAAAAATTACTTACATGATTAAATGAGATGGATAACATACGGTTGTTCTTATTTTAACGGCAGATTATACCTGATTAGTTATTACGTTGCACGGATTACTTAAGTTTACTTCACTTAACACGAAGATCGAGTTTAATAATAAGTCTAATACTGATGCATTATTAATGATGAGTTATTCTTTGCATTGAACAACACAGTATGACTAGCGTTGCTATGCAATGAATGGCTGTCACATTAGTCAACTTGATTCACTTTGGTGACTTTTCATTAATATGTATATATATAAAATTCAGTTCACTTCAAGTTAACACCAAGCAAATGTATTTAAATAAAAATTTAAGTATTTCTTTGATATAAAGGTATAATAGTGTTGAACTAAAGTGCCCTGTAGATTCTAATTCATTCAATAAAAATGGAAAAGTCCAAATATGGCATACATCCCCAGAGAAACTACATTATACAAATACGAAAATTCAAACGTAACCGAATTAACCCCCTTCTCCCTTTTTCATATCTTAGCCTCTTCACCTCTAGTATTTTTTTCATCTTCACAGTTCTGTACTCAGCATTTGCCGCCATAGTGTAAATAAATGCATCACATATCCGATGCACTTCAATTGAAAAATGTTTACAACCTTATCTTTCTGTCATGCATTGCGTCTAACTTCAGCACTGCTCGCTCATCAATCTTAAGACATTTAAGGTGGAATATTTGCTAACTTCATATGCTCTGATTCTTCCAAAGTCTGTTTTCACTGTCATTCAGTGATACAAGGCATAATTTTGAGTACTGTAATAGAACTTTGAAAATAAAGTGGTCACCTCACTTACACTACAGGATATTAATTTGATAATAGTCAAGTGGCTTATTTGTATCCACATTTAGATATCATTAACTATTAACCCATCGAAAAAGATCGGATTTATCAGGTGACTGAAATAACCAAAGCGTTCAACGAAATTTCGCTCTATGTTTAAGCTAATCATCAAAAGAAAGCAGTCATTAAGCAATAATTTGGATTTATTGATAGAGAACTGTTTCAAGAGATGATTTAACTACGAGGTGAAAATCTTTCGAAGCTATTTTTTTAAGATTTCATATATATATATATATATATATATATATATATATATAGATTGACTGGAGGAGTAATAAGTGTTTTGGACTTATTGTTTTCGTACTACCCCAGTTCCAAGCATTTATTTGAACCGTAAATTGTTGCTATAGCATTTTCCACTCATAAACTAAAACCGATTATTTGTGTATCCGGTACTCCGTTTTCTTCATTACCAATGGAATTTTTCCGTTTCAATACTGTCACTCAACTAGTCTGCTGCATGGTCTGGTCTTGTATATACGAATGTATGTCTGAAATTTGATAACGAACTTGAACTGGTGATCATTTATCTTGTGTTTCCTCTTCATTCGGGAATAGTTAATATTGGGCCAAACGTCAAGCTTAGAGTATCAGTATTCCCCGTCCTTGCTGCGTATTGGTTGCTTAAGATCGTCTATGCATATTGGCCGGGTAAAACAAGACCTAAATCCCAGATATTTTTCTTTTACTCTGAGGGCATCTAGATCACATTGTATCAATTACTTTTAATTTAAAACATTTGTAAGGAAAGTTGCCATGAATGAAGTAACGCAGAAAAAATCA